AGACCTCGAGAGGGGTACCTGACGTAGTAGGGGACGGACTCGTCGAAACGGACGTCACGAGAGTCAAAGAACCGGTGGGAGGGTGGGTGGTAAAAGGTGAAGTCAGAGGAGCCCTCTGGGAAACCAAGGAAGACACAGGGGACGGCGCGAGGCGAGATCTTGTCCGCAGAGGTGTCGCGGACAAGAGCCAAGCAGCCCCAGACACTAAACCTCGACGCAACACCAGGGGACCCTGTCCAAAGACTGGTCGGTGAAGCCCCTGGCCGAGAGACGCGAGGCCAGAGGTTCAGCTGGTGAGCGGCGTACCGAGCCGCGTAGGGCCACAGAAAATGGGGCGCGCGGGCGTGGATCATGGAGGTGCGGGCGATCTCCATGACCAGGCCTAAGCGGCGCTCAGCAACCCCATTCTGCTGTGGAGAGTCTGGAAGAGTCCAGGACTGGGTGATGCCCTGCTCAGCACAGAATCTGGCGAGAATGCCGGAGCAAAACTCACCCCCACGGTCGGAGTGGAGACAACTGACACGACGACCACGAGTGCCCTCGGTGGCGAGGAGCCACCGGATCAGCGTAGAAGTCACGTCAGACTTCTTCGCCAAGGGGAACACGGTGGTGTACCGAGAGTAATCGTCAACGACCACCAGAAAGAAACTCTCCCGCTCAGGGCCAAGGCGGGAGGCGGGGCCCCAGACGTCTAAGTGGAGTGTCTGGAAGGGCTCGGTGGCCGGACGAAGGGAGGAGGAGTGAGGGGTGGCGCGAAGCCGACCCTGGACACAAGGACCGCACGGAGGAGCTGGGGACGGCGGGAGTGGTGGGAGGACTCGGGGGAGGCCTAAGACAAGACGCTGACTGGACATGGCGCGCAGACGAGGAAGGGACGGGTGCCCCATCCGGTGGTGCCACAGAACGGTGGGGTGGGCAAGCGACCGACACGAGCACGACGCAGCAACTACACCTGACACAGCAACCTGACTGGACCCGGCTACCTGGTGGGACGGGGGAACCTGACGGGGGTCGGTGCGGAGGGTGTACAGACCAGAGCCCGGCTCTTGGCAGAAAGTGGCCAAGGGGGCGTACGTGTCACCGTCGACGCAGACTGCGGTGTCACCAGAAGGCCCCGACGTGCTGTCTCGCCAGGGTGCCCACACCAACCAGGTTCCTAGAGAACGTAGGAACGTGGAGGCCGGTCAGGGAACCAGAAGGAGCAGCTGGGCACGGGAGTGTAGTGGCGTGAGGTGCAATGACCGGTCCCGAGGAGGGATCGGCCAGTGCTACAGGGACAGGCGCCGGTAGCGGAGAGAGAGTCGTGCAGTCGCGGAAGAAGCAGTGCGACGCTCCTGAGTCCAGTGTGAAAGAGAGAGAGAGACGCGTCCGCCGAGGGAGTACCTGTACTAGTAGCTAAACAAGATCCTACACTAGCACCTACTCTAGCAATAGGCAAGTACACAGATCTAGGAGCACTATAGTCAACATCAGCATACATGGCATATGACCTAGCATCATCCATAGTCATATCAAAAACAGCAATACCACGAGCAAGAAGTGTCCCCCAACGCGGCGGCGGGGGAGCGGAGGGGCCGTGGTGCAAGAGGTAGAGGTCGTCGAGACGACTGAAGCAGCGTGCAGCAGAGTGGTCGGGGCGGCCACAGTACGAGTCCCTACGAGGACCCGTAAGGATCCAGTACTCACAGGGACCAACGTCGCGGCCGGCCGCGCGAGGTCCCCGACTGGAGGGGGCGCCACCGCGCCCAGTGCTCGGGGGACCCGCAGACCTCCACTGCTGCTGAGGGCCCCACTGCTGCGGAGGGCCCCACTGCTGAGGCTGCTGCTGCGGTAGGCGCTGCTGCTGGCCCTGTCGCTGCTGCTGCTGCTGTCCCTGCCGCTGCTGCTGTCCAGGCGGTGGCAGCTGCTGAGGAGTCGGCTGCTGCTGCTGCTGGAACCCCTCACCACCAGTGAAAACTCCACCGTCGAAAGGAGGGCCGTCAGGTCCCGAGCCACCCCCACCACCACTCCCACCACCTGCTCCACCGCCACCGCCACTACCCGCACCACCTCCAGTACCCCCGCCGCCCTTCCCGCCCTTCTTGCCGGCCTTGCCACGTTTCTGTCCGCCAGAGACAGAAACAGCCGCCGTCTCCTCAGAGGCAGAAGACGTGGGAGTGGCAAGGGAGGCAGAGAAGGTGGGAAGCTGTGGTAGCACACACCCCTCAAAAAGACGAGGAGGAGGCGCGGAAGAGGCAGAGGCAACGGTGAGGAGGTTACTCTCGATCTTCGAGAGAGCAGTCTCAAGAAGATCGATGGTAAGCTCAGTGGGGTGCTTCAGAAGAAGCGCGTCGCGGGCTGTGGCTAGGCGGTCAGGGAGGCGAGTGACTAGCCAGTGAATAGTGAGCCACATAGGGGGCGGGGCAAGGGCAAGCTGGTCCTCAGTGCAAGCAGCGCGAAAGCGAGCGTCAAGGGAGCGCAGGTGAGTAGCGAGGTCAGAGACAGTCTCAAAGGAGGCGAGGTCAGGGTAGATAAAGGGTACGAGGAGGCGACTGAGCGACGCAGAGGAGGGAGTAGAGTAGCGAGCAACAATAGCCTTATACAGATCTGCAGCAGACTCGACCTGAGCGAAGTGGACTGCCTCTGTCGGCGGGAGAAGGTCGGTCAGGGCGAGGCAGGCAGCGGCGTCACGAGACTCCCACACGTCGCGAGCGAGGAGCTGGCGCTGGTAGTCGGCCTCCTGCTCAGAAGTAGGCGGTGGGGTAGTGGGCAGCGGCTGAGGCTGCGGAGGGGCGGTCTGAATGCCGGACGCGTGCGCGAACAGGTGCACGCCATCCTGCCGCTGGCTCTTAAGGTGGCGCTGCGCCTGCGTAAGCCACGTACTAAAGTCAACAGGTCTCCCCTCAGGGTCAAAGCGAAGAACTCGGGAGGTCGCCATAGGGGGCGAAAGTGAGAGAACGCGGCTGCCAGCCGCGGGAGGGTGAGACAGTCAGTGGCGTGTGGGCAGGCGCGCAGGCGTGCAGGCGGGCAGGCGGCACGGCATGCGGACAGGTGAGTGGCGCGACGCACAAGTTGGCGGGCGGCGCGGCGCGCTGGCCGGTGGGCGGCGCGGCGCGCTGGCCTGCGGGCGGCGCGGCGCGCTGGTCGGCGGGCGGCGCGGCGGGTAGCGGAGTGCGCTGGCGCGCGCGTCGGCCTGACGCGCTGGCGTGCGCGTCGGCGTGGCGCGCTGGCGTGCGCGCTGGCGTGCGCGCTGGCGTAGTGCGCTGGCGTGCGCGCTGGCGGGGCGCGCTGGCGTGCGCGCTGGCGTGGCGCTTTGGCGTGGCGCGCTGGCGTGGCGCGCTGGCGTGCGCGCTGGCTAGGGCGCTGGCGTGCGGGCTGGCTAGGGCGCTGGCGTACGGGCTGGCTAGCGCGAATAGGGCAGACGGGGAGGAGGGGAGGTACGCCAAGGCTAGAGACGGCCTAAGGCTAGGAACGGCGGATACTGGGCGGGGCCTAGGAACGGCTAACCTACTGCTGATACCATCTCAGAAACAGAATACAGCGGAATGAGTAGCATTGATTGGGTTGGGGTACATATGCCTAACCCTAACTGTCCGTACCCCGTATAGCATGACCCACAACAGGCTATAACATTTGACACCACTGTGGCCTTCACTACTATAAGGATTTTTTTTTTCCGAATTCCTTATCGGGGTTGACTGCTTCGCGTACAGCCCCGATTTTCGGACTCTGCACGTTCGGCCGATCTCAACGCTGCCGAGGCTCCTCGCGTCGCCTTCGGCATTTTCCCATCGCCAAACCTGCACCCAACCTCGCTCGTCCGAGGTTCCCTCCTAGCTAGGCTTGCTCCTACATTAGTCTGTGCCTTCATTGTATTCTCAGTTCGTTCAATCACAGTCTCGTTATTCGTTTACCTGCGCACTCTCTTTTACAACTCATAACAGCTACATAGTTCTCGCTCATGCTTTCGCTCAGCGTACTGTTTTGCTTCGATAGTGCAATTCTCGCTCGCTCGCTCAATTGCACTCGTAACAACTCAAAACCGCCTTCTTACATGCCCCGCCCCTACTATCCTCTCCACTCCCCCGTCCGCCAACGCCTCAACACACCCGCTTCCCTCGCACGGCCGCCCTCCGTCGCACACAACGTCGCCAACCGTCTCCCTTCACCCATCCCTACGAAGCGGCCATCCACTGTAACGATGCGCCCTTGCCGCCAGATCCAACCCGATCTCTTCAATAAAGGCTCTCCACGCTGCGGCACAACAGGGTTGAGATAGCGCTTCTAGCAAATTATAGCCAGGTAGATCGTGCCTCTCGCGTGATGCCACGTGTCCCTTTGGATCAGGAGAAGCGCCTAGCCTGGCAGATGTCGCGTCGGAGGCAGCAGCGACTGCAGTTGCTGGCGCTACGGGAAAGCGGTCGTGAGCCTGTGTAGGTCTGGTAGGAATAGCCATCGGTGTCAACGTTTTCATTCCGCAATTTCTTAACTCGCCTCTCAATCGCCCATACAACTCGCTCGATTTCGCGCCATTTATCCGTCGTCCCGTACCGCTCTCCACTGCGTATCATCCCTGCCAGCCGCATCTTCCAGTCGCGCACTAGCTTTTGCCTCTTCCGCGCAGCTGCAGATTCGAAAAGGGGGGAGGTTGGGGGAGGGGAAGGGGAGCGAAGTTGTGTGCGCGTCAAATAGGGAAGCAGTTAAGGGGAGGGAAAGGGAAAGGAACAGCGCAACCCACGGGGCGCAAAGCGCAGAAGCCGCGCGACCCAGGGGAGGAGGGGCGCATCCCAGCCGGAGCAGCGCTGAACGGCGGAAGGAGCGGGAGCGGAGAGAGCGGCGGAGAGGGCCGGTTGCGCAGGACAGCAACGGGGGCGTGTGGGGGGGGGGGAGCGGCGCAACGCGGGTCCCGCAGAGTTGCGCAAGCTGGGTGGTGCGTGTACACGCGCGGGCGTGCTTAGGCGTGTTCCCCGTGGGAGGCGCGGCCGCGGCGGCGGCGGAGGAGGAGAAGGAGAAGTGCGGCGATGCGGCAAGTGGACGACCCCGCGGCGTCCGGCCTGCCGCCATGGCTGGGATCGCTGCTCGCGCTGCTCGTCGTCACGCACCTATTCGCTCTAGTACGCCCCCTGCGATTCGTTCTCGCGCCCGCACGTTCTGCTCACGTGCTGTCTCCTCTGCACCGCTCCTTTCTTCCCCCCCCCCTTTACCCCCTCCCCCTCCCCTCCCCCGCCTTAATCCGTCCCTATATTCCTTACGGCGGGGGTAAAAACACTATAGGGCGCATGGGGTTGCGGGATTGGGAGTGGGGGTAATAAGAGGGGAGTTGGTGAGGCAATGGTTTAGGCCGTGTAGGGGAGTGGATGGGGACAGGGGGACAAAGCATTTCGCTGCGCTATGTGATTGCACGGTGTGTGATAATCCATGAGGGTGTGTGCTGTGATAGTGTGTGCGGTGATAGTGTGTGGTTTGCTAGTGTGTGCTTTGATAGTGTGTGGATTAATAGTGTGTGCTTTGATAGTGTGTGGATTGATATGTGTGCTGTGATAGTGTGTGCTGTGATAGTGTGTGGATTGATAGTGTGTGCTGTGATAGTGTGTGGTTTGATAGTGTGTGCTGTGATAGTGTGTGGATTGATAGTGTGTGCTTTGATAGTGTGTGGATTGATAGTGTGTGGATTGATAGTGTGTGCTGTGATAGTGTGTGGATTGATAGTGTGTGCTTTGATAGTGTGTGGATTGATAGTGTGTGCTGTGATAGTGTGTGGATTGATAGTGTGCACTGTGATTGTGCGTTCTGTGATACTGTGTGCAGAGATAGTGTTCGATCGTGGGTGCTGTAATAGTGTCTGCAGTTACTGTGTGTGAGGTTATGTAGGAACTGCTGGTATGCAGGAGGTGAAGAGATGCTCTTGGGTCGAAGGGAGCGGAAGGAAGGGATGGGGCAGCAAGGAGATGGGGCAGAAAGGTGGAGGTTGATGAGTGAATGGATGAATAGGTCAAGCTAGCAGCAGCAACAGTAGCAGCAGCAGCCGTACTAGCAGCAGCAACAGCAGCAGCAGCAGCATTACCAGCAGCAGAATTTTCATTTGTGGAGCCATGGTCTGTGGGTTCCTTAATATAATACCCTTGCTGCTATATTTCCACGTGCCCTTGTCATTCCCTCACATGTACCACCGTTTATCACCAGTCTCCGCCCCCCCCTTCTCTCCCGCCCCTCCACTTTTCTGCTTCCTTTCGCTGCCTTTCCTTCCCAATCCCCCCGGCATGCCTCATTGGACCATTGCCAGGTGTATTGGCTCAGTCGGCTGACACTAGAGCGGCCAGGCGTGCGCAGAAAGACAGCCTAGGACCCTGACTTCTCCCTTGTGCTCCTAGTTTTAGGGTGTAAAGTTTGCTAGGTGTCTTAGGTGATAAAGCATGCTAGCGCATGGCTGGAGAGGGCTGGGGTAACTGCTGCTCGAGAGCAGGGGAGGGGTGGTAAGGGGATTGCGCTGCTGGAAACGAAGGGGGGAGGGGCGTGAGTGAAGCGACGGAAGTGAGAACGTTAGTAGGCACCCTTGCCTTGCAACAGCTTGGTTGTGGGAGACGGCCATTGATGAGTTGGGAGTACCGTATGATGGCTAGCCAATCAGCTGAGAGGGCTGCTGTGCTGCTGTGCGACTGGCTGGCAGCTGGCACTGCTGCTGAATTGCAATGGATCTTAGACGCCTGTGGTTGTTGGAAGTGAACAGATTGATGGCTGTGCATGTTAGGCTGTACAGTATCTCCTGCATATGGACTAGTCTCGGTCAGATCCTATGCTTTACCATTTCGGGCTGCAGAATTTGATTTGGTGAATACCACGTCTATTGTTGATTTCCTGAAAACCATCTTGTCTTAATAAAACTTCATGCATACCATTGACTTTTCCATTTGGATTTTTTTCTCTGGAAATATGTAGATTTCCACAATGAATAGCGAGCTGGTTATGGTTGCTACACCGAAATTCTATTAAGGGCAATAAAGCGTCCCCGCGTTCTGCCATGAAGGGGATGAGTTCAGTCGCCTGCTGGTCCTGCAGCATCTCGTTTATCTGCTCCTCCATTCGCTGCTCCTGCCTCGTGCATGTCGCCCCGCACGCCTCGCTTCGCCCTCAAAGATTCACAGCACGCCACACGAGGAATGGGTTGCAACGCGAGGGAATATTGTGGGAAGGTCCGCGGTAGCTATTCCCGGAGGTGGAAGAGATTTGGGGATAGAGATTCAGTGAGGAATTATGCGGAGGGTATACGTGTTTCGGGGTGTTGTTCACTTCCATGTCTGTGTCTTGCGCACGCAGCGGGGCAGGGTGGCTGATGCTCAACGCTGGACGCTAGAAGCGACGACGACGACGACGACGACGACACGACGACGACACCGGCGACGACTGTGACTACTTGCGAAGACAACGACAATGATCTTCTCCTCACTGCACGTGCTGCGTCAGCTCGGGTCGCTGTGCTCGTCTCGCCTACGAGAGGCCGTCTGCCTGCTTCTGCTGCTATGCCACGTGTGCTCCGCGTTCGTTTATATCCTCGTCTTCGGACCGCTCGTACTGCTTCTGTATGCTCTCCAGTGCCGTCGCCATGGCTACTCGCTCGCGTCGGCCATGTATGGATGGTGGATGCACGGCCTTGCTTTTTTCGTAGAGAAGGTACGATACGAAAGAATATCTGAAATTGATTTCCAGACCGATTTCTAGAAAGCCTCGGCCGTTGAAGTTGCGTGAAGTTCTCTCAAGCACCGGAAATTGTATCCTCTGTCCGGAATTCACGTTCATCATTTCTCCTGTGCATGCTTTCCGGTTGTGTGCGTGCCGTTGACGGTGATGGCGATGCTGGTTGGAATGCGGATACTGATGCTGATGGCAATCAAGATTGGAGGAACTGAGTTTGTGCTGTCGTGGGACCATGCCTGTCATCCCTTCCAAGGCGGGCACAGCCGCAGCCAGAATGACAACCACAGCCACACCAATTGCAGCGGCAACCCCAACCTTAACGCCAGCAGCGGCAAGGAAGACGGCAACAACGGGTACAACGGCAACCTATTTGAGTGTACCAGGGCCCTGGATTCGCTCCATAGAGCTCTCGTCATGTGCAACCACCTGTCAGAGTGCGATTGGCTCTTCATCTGCTGCCTGGCTGCCCGCGTCCAGGTCAGACGTCCGACTCTCTGACCTATGCAGTTCTGCTACATTAGTTACTCTCCCGTTAGAAGCACCTGAGGGGGGTGCGGGGAAGCGAGCAACAATGTGCAGATTCGAGCAGTGGGAAGTGCCACGTATCCTGTCCGTTCCTTTCATTTAAAGACCGGAAATCCTGTTTTTCCGGGCAAATTACCGAATCCGCCTGCCAAGGAGCTGGCAAAGTCGACTCATGGAACCGTTTTGGCTGACTTTCTTTGCATGTGTGGAATCCAGGGAGCGCTGGGAGGACTTCGTTTCGTGCTCAAGCGCAGCATAGCGCGTGTGCCGCTGGTGGGGTGGGCGCTGCAGATGCTGCACTTTGTGTTCATCGACCGCTGCTGGCGCACGGACGAGGCAGGCATGGCCGCCACTCTGCAGCAGCTGGGGGCGTGTGCAGGGCAGCAGGACAGGCAGAAACAGCTAAGGAGTGGCTTCTGGCTCGCTATCTTCCCTGAAGGCACTGACTTCACGTCAGTTGCCTCCTGCACCACCTTTTGCCGTTTCAATAATTGCTCTGGGTGTGACAGTCTGACAGAGACTGTGAAACGCGAACACCGCAAGAAACAGGGTCAACTCTTGCCTGCCTGTGTGCCTGCATGCCTGCGTGCCACTCGTTGCCTTGCAGGGAGCGGAAGAGAGATGCGTGTCAGGAGTTTGCGCGGGCGAGGGGCCTCCCAGTGCTGCAGCATGTGCTGCTGCCTCGCACGCGTGGGACCTACTTGTGTCTGCACTCGCTGCACTCAGTGTTTGATGCTTGTGAGCCCACACCTGGCTCCATTCTCGCCACGCCACCATCCACCTGTCTGCTGATTACTGCGCTGTGTTGATCATTGTTCCTGTCTATCATCATTGTTGCATATGTGGCATTACTTTTTTCATCACCTCTTTCGGCCAATCTGTCCACCATACCATGTCTGTACATGCTTCACACCTGTATCTTGCAGTCTACCATGGTGAGGACACTGAAATACCGTATTTCTTCTCTCGTTCCTTGGCAGTGATTGACGTGACTGTTGCGTATGACAAGGGGAAAGGCGGCATGCACGACTTGGTCAAGATGGCCATAGGGCGAGGTCCAAGAAGGGTGTTCCTGCACATCAAGCTCCTCCCCGTGGATGCGCCTCTAGCATTGAGCCAGCACGCATTCAACGAGGCCATGTTTGACATCTACCGTTGCAAGGATGCTCTGCTCTCGCATGCGTATGCCAAGGGGAGCATGCCCTCGTCTACACTTTGCTCCCTGCGCCCACCAACCAGACTAGGATTTGCTTCTCTTGCTCTCAGTCTGTTGATGACCATGGCTGTCACTGTTTACCTAAGAATTGGGGTAAGGCACTTGTAAGTGCTGCTTAGGATTGTTTTCTAAAATCAAAAGTTTGTAGCGTAGTACCGGCATTAGCATGAGCAGATCAATTCATGTATTGGGTAGACATTTTGTCACAAGGGCTGGAGCAACGCACCATTTCTTTCAGGTTACATCTCACCACGGAGCTCTGAGGTAATGAAAACATTGCGGTCCGCCATTTATTACGTTTCCTTGCCCGTCTCGTCCCCTTGAGACACTACTAATCCATTTCACCGTACAGCACCGTACCGTTAACATTCACCACCGCATATATCGTCACCCTCGACCGTTTCGGTTGGTTCCTTTGGTTCTGAAACGCCGTCATGACCGCGCTGCTCGCGACGTTCCCTGTAAGCTGCCACGCCACACCGCGCTTGTACGGCATCTGCTGCCACGTGCCGGGCAAGTCCAGCACTGTCGTGGGCGGCGTGAGTGGGTCGCAAGGGAAGCCCGAAACGACCGCCTGGCTGCTCGGCGCGTAAGGGAGGCCTGTTGCGAGGAACGCGTAGGATGTCTTATACGCCCATGATCTGCAGGCACAAGGGGGGTGGGGGGAGAGAGATAGGTTGTGAGGTGGGAGGAATGGAAGGAGCCGACGGCGAGAGGCAGTTACGCTGTGTGGAGTGGTAACCAGCGCATGGGAGGCGAGCGGTGAAAGGGATATTCGCGTGGACTCGTTTCGGTGACTGCAAAGAGCACACTTTGAACCCTCGCCCATTTTTCTTTCCCCGCTCGTCACAAAATTTCGCCACGCGTGCACCAATCAGGGGCGTTACTCCGCAACCAAGAGTAAAACGCTTGAAAATGTGAGATTTGGGGCTGCAGCATTACCCGTCCAACCTCACCTCTCCATTGTGGTGCCGATAATCCCGGACATTGCCGGCTTCATGCCGTACACGCGGCGGCATGTGGTCATGTCGAACTTGGACTTGGCTGGCAGGAAGGGGAAGCGGGGGCGGGGGAGGGGAGAGGTGGGGAGAGGAGAGGAGAGGAGAGGAGAGGAGAGGCGGGGAGAGGAGAGGAGAGGAGAGGAGAGGAGAGGAGAGGAGAGAAGAGGAGAGGAGAGTAGAGAGACGAGAGGAGAGGAGAGTAGAGAGACGAGAGGAGAGGAGAGTAGAGAGACGAGAGGAGAGGAGACGAGAGGAGAGGAGAGAGACGAGAGGAGAGGAGAGCAGAGGTTGAGCAGCCGTGGAGCTAGTGATTATCAGACACGTAGGGAGACGACGAAAAGGAAAAGAAACGGCGAGCATTGGCGGGTGACCAACGGGTAGGTTGGAAGTCGTGGCGGGGCACGCGTGTAAATGATGGTGATGGAATTTATGGTTGGACGGTGGGAGTGATGGTAGGAGGATGACGAGAGGGGTTTTCAGCGCTTACTTAGCTGCACGGGGAACTTGTCTCGGCCGCCATGAGCGCCCGGTGCCACAGTGGCTGCGATGCCTGTTGGCGCAAAGGGGGGATTAACGAGGGCGGAGGGCGGATTGCGGAGAGCGGAGAGCGGAGGGTGGAGAGCGGAGAGCGCAGGGTGGAGAGTGCAGAGCAAAGATGAGCGTCTCGTATCCCTCTCTTCCTTACACACATACATAAGGGTGGGTTGCAAGAGGAAAACAGTAAATGATGGATTGCGCACGGCGGGAGAGCTGCAATGGTGCATTGGACTCACATAGTAGGAGTATGAATGGCGCCATGACCGCGCGTGATTCCATGGTTGACGCTAAAGCTTAGACTACGCTGGGACTATGGTGTATGCCGTACGTCGGTAGTACGTTGCGGCTAGGTTGAAAGAAGCACAAGCGTATGCTACGTTACGGCTACGTGATAGTATGTTATGTGCTAGTTTATTCACACGAGAGACCTATTTATGCGCAGCTGTAAGAGACTCTAGGCGAACGGTGGAAGGTATGGTGCGACGTGTGGTGGTAGTAAAGGAAGACTTCTCCCCCCGTTCGCGACAAACGACATGAAGTCGGAGAACGTTGCTGGTGGCGGAGCGTTTATGTCGGTGAGAAATTCATTCGAGCTGGTCAACGGGACAAACACACAGGAGCGAGCTGAGCCGACGGCAACAAACCAGTTGACGAGCTGGAGGGCATTCCACACTACAGTACGGATACTTGTTCTTTGTGCAGTTGCGCGTTGCACCTCACTTCACTCCATTCCAATCCCTTCAATTCCACTCCATTCTACTTCACACCTCTATTCCACCCCTACCCAACTTGAGTTGGAGCCGACAGGAATGCGTGGCGCCACATTTTCGTGCCAGCAGCACGATGGGGAAACGAGATGCAACATCCGAGGCGCCTCGAATCTCCCGTGAAATGTACTCTTTATTAGCATTTGCACTCGCCCCTGCGGCCATTGCGGATGCAGTTACAGTTTCGAACTGTGATACATTCAACAAGGGTATTACCGTACTAGCTTGCCATGATTAAACATATTTTTGCCTACTTCTGGTCCAAATCATGTTATAGAGCTTTGATAGAATGCTCCTGGATTCAAAAATGAGCATCCATGAACTGATGCCAATTGGTAGACAGTGGTTGATTAGCCTTATCACAAAACATTCCATTACCGTAAAAATTATGCAGCAGCTTCAAAAATATTTCCCATTATGACACCCCGTTGTATGGTGCCATAGCAAAGAGAACACATGCAATGGCACAAAACATCTCCCTGCCACCCTGTCTCACACATCTAGGTTCAACACAACATCTGCAACCCCGTTCACGAGGTGGGTGGGTCACAGGTCACAGCATGTCTGCATGCCCCTCGTCCTTGCCGTCTCCAAAGCCCCACCAGCTGTGGGCGTGTGAGGGGGGAGTGGGAGCAGCGAGAGCCGCTTCAATGTGTGGCGCAATGTCTAGAGGATTCACAGTGGGGGCATAGCGGCGGATGGTTATGCCGTCCTTGCCCACCAGAAACTGGCAGGGAGAGAGGCGGTGGAGCGGGCAGATGGTAGAGAATGATGGAGACCAGTGAGTGGTGTGGAAAGGAAGAACGGGAGGGGGGTGTTTTGAGGAAATCGGAGCTGATATGAGCGGAGAAGGGAAGAGGTCAGCAGGAAGGGAGCAAGAAGGAATCGAGCGTCGACTGGGCCACGAACAGCAGCAGTTGCAGCAAGCAGCAAGCAACATGAGCGAAGGCCCAAACTGATGTTGTGCAAGGTACACACAATAAAAATCAGAGTCGCACAGACAAAGACCTTGGCAAAGTCCCACTTAATATCGCCAGGGAAGTGCTGCTTGAGCAGGTCAAAGACGAGGCTGTTAAACGGGCAGCACCTCGACTTTTGAGTCGACTCAAAAGCCACGTGCAGGATGGGAGGGAGGCCACCAATGATACAAAGGCACGGACCTTGGCAAAGTTCCACTCGATGTCGCCAGGGAAGTGCTGCTTGAGTAGGTCAAAGACGAGGCTGTTGGACGGGCAGCAGCTCGTGGTGCTGGCCGTGCACGCAGCCTCCGTGCCCGAGCACTCCAGTGGCGCGTTCACCAGCGTCTTGGCGAAGATGCGGAACGGTGCAGAGTGGTTCGTGCGGGCAAAGGAGAGGATGTCACTGTTGGACCCTGTGGAAGGGGAGTGGGGAATGTGGCGTGGAGGAAGAGAGGAGGTTGAACAGGTGAGTGAGAAGGCCGACAAAAGGTGTGGTAGGTTAAGGTGAAAGGCTGGAGACGGAGGGAGGCGAGGGATAGGGGAGGGTGTAGGAGGGAGGAAGGTTTAGGGACCCTGGAAAACAATGTGAACGGGCACACATATACATGCCCCTCTGCAATTCTTTCATATCGCCCTTGTGTGTAACCTTTCTACCTCCTGGTGCTCACATTGCACCCCCGTGGTGCCTCATTAATGCCTGTGCCGTACCCGCTCCCCGATTTCCAACCAATTTCCACCCCATCTGCAAACCATTGGCACCCCCTGTGTTCCCTAAGTGCCTATCGCGTGTGCGTCCCAAGCAACTGACTGGGCTCCTGGTTGCCGAACTGGTTGCAGGGGAATGCGAGCACTTGGAAGCCGCGCGCAGCAAAGCGGTTGTGCAGCACTGCTAGCTCCTCGTAGTTCTGGGACGCACAAGTGGATGGAGATGGGAAAGGCGCGTGAGAGGGGACGGAAAGAAAAGGTAGGATTTGTAAGAATGGTGCGGGGGGTGATGCGTGGGGAGTAATAAAGATGGATAGGTGTGTCTGCTATGGATTGCATGGGACGTGGAGTGGAATAGACTAGAGCGGTATAGAATGGCATATATAATGGATAAGTGGGTATAGAATGGCATGAAATGGTGTGGAATGGCATGGGCAGAGAATGGGCATGGTTAGCACTCAATGGCGTGGCATGGCATGACAGCAGCAGTGGGAGGAGCAGTGTTTCCATGCGCACGGTGTTGACACGTGGACACGTGGCAGTGGATGGTTTGGTTCGTACCCTCTTAGTGAGCCCACAGTCACTGGCCACGTTCACCACCAATGACACCTGCTCCATCGCACCCATGCATTCATGCACATAAGCAATCACGCGCACAGACAGGCACACACGAAGGCAGACAAGAAGGCAGCCAGGCGAACAAACGGCGGGAGGGCAGGCGGGTGGGTGGGTGAATGGGCGAGTGGGTGGGTGGGTGGGTGGGTGGGTGGGTGGGTGGGTGGGTGGGTGGGTGGGTGGGTGGGCGGGGGTGGGGGTGGGTGATTCATAGGCCTAAAAGGAGAGTGCAGCGGACAAGAAACTCAGAGGTTGCTGTGTCGCGGCGGCTTCACTTCATGCCGCATGAGCCTCCACTGCGACGGCAATATCCGTGAAACCGAAGCCACTCGTCCCGCGCGTACCGTGCCGCGAAGCTCGCTTAGGGACCGGAGCTGACCCGTGGCATCCACGGCCGGGAGCATGTACAGGCTTTTAAGCCGCGCTGCTGCTTCCGCGCCGCCATTCTCGCTGCTTTTACCGCTGCTGTTAATTGCGGCGGCGGAGACGAAAAATGGTGTTCGCGGGGCGAGGGAAACCGAACAGGCGCACAGGGCGGCGAGAAATGCGGCCGAGTATGCTGCGTCTAGGATTCGCCTTTGGAAGCGGACTATTTGAAAACGGCGTGAGCGTGAGTGAAGATGCATTGAGATTCTCGAGATTTCCTCTGATCCGTCGAATGTATGCGACATGACGGATTGCAGAGAAAGCGGTGGAATAACACGTGTCCGTCAGCTTTGGTAGCGTCTGCGCTATCGTTTTGCGCTTTAGTTACCAGGGACGCATTTCCTCGGAGGGTCCTGTCCTGTCTGCCATGGCGGAGGGGTCGATCGCGCGCGTGTTCTGATGAAGGCGGTTCTCTAAAATAAGGGTTTGAGACGAGCAATTCTTTATACTCGAGAGAAACAGCTTACGTATATCAATAAAACCGACATACATATGAGAAATGCAATTGGAGCTAAACGTATACACCCTATATCTAGTATGTGCAGACGGATGCCGTTATTTCAGGAAACAACCATAATTCCAACTACCCTTACTGGCCAGTACTACCAAGCTCATGATACTCCTCCTACATGCATTGAATCCTTGCCCTGTCCATTAGAGCAGGTACTCTCTCATGCCTTGACACAAGTTTGCCTGTCCGGGGACTGCTTGTACCCCGTGCTACACATGCAGATGGGCGAAATCTTGTTGTGCCTCACTTCCACCGTGCAATACCCCTTTCCACCGCACTGGGAGCTCCCAGAAGTGTTGCAGAACTGCTGGCACGACTTGGCGACTCTCTGCTTGGGCTTGGAGCCGCAGCTGTAAGAGGAAGGCACGGTGAGGCAGTTGTTGCCGATGTCTGCCGAGCACACAGTCTTGCCGCTGGTGGTGGCGGGGACCGAGGAGCCGAAAAAGTAGTTGCTGTTGAAATTGGCGGATTCTGGCATGGTGGCAAACTTGGGCAGTGGGCCTGTGATGTAGTTGCCACTCACGTCACTGCAGGGAAGGGGAAGGAGAGGAGGGAGAGTGGCAGTGGCGGGTGGTGAGGGAGGGGGTGAGGGGTGACGAGGGTGAGGAGAAGACTTAGGAATGGGGAAAATTATGGACTTGAGTAGGCTCGAAGTGGAGAAGTGGATGGGGTGCGAGAGAGTGGTGCGGAGAAAGAATGGGGTGGTATGTATAGCTAGTTTTTTTACTTTTGAGTCGACTCAAAAGTCAATGGGGTGGTATGTACAGCTAGTGTTTTGGAGCTTTTGCGAACGCAACACACAAGCAGCAAGTGCTTTTGCAGTCTGGGATTCAGCACCAAAGGCCATGAAGCTGGAGAGAGACGGAAAGAGAGGAATGAGCTGGCACTCACATGGACTTGAGCTTGCTCTGAGAAGTAAAGTCAGGCAGGTAGCCGCTCAAACGGTTGTTCTGCAGGTTCCTGTGTTGTGGTTGGGGGGGGGTGAGGAGTGGCGGATGCGTAATGGGGGTTGTTGATGAAGGGACGGCATACTTGCTGAGGGGCTCTCTGCTATAGGGTCCTTACGTTTGAGCAAGTTGTAAGTCTGGGGCGAGGGCGGAGAGAGCGGGGGGTGGAAGTGGAGGAATATCAATGTCGCAAGAAGGGACATACGGGTGGGGGAAATGGCGGAAGCATGGGCTCTCTCACTGACACGTCACTCACAGCGTCTGCAGGTTCTTGAGGTTCTTGTAGGTGGCAGGGACGTTTCCGGAGAGCAGGTTGTCGTTCAGGGAGCTGCCCCACACACGCAGGGGGAGAAAGAGCAGCAGGAGCGAACGGATTGAGATGACTTGGGAAGCAGAGATGGGTGTGATCGATTGGGGAGAGGAAAGCAAGCAGCATAAGGGGCTGGGGGAAGGCTGATGATAGAGCGCCAGGAGGACGTGGTGGACGAGAGGTCAAAAGAGAAAGATGTTGAATGGGGAGAGGGACGTTTGGAGGGAGAAGAAGTAGGAGGGAGAAGGAACGGGAGGGTTTTGGAGGGAGGAGAGCGAGGGGTTTGGAAGGAGAGGGAGGTTTGGAGAGAGGGGGAGGAGGGAGAAGAGGGGACGTGGGCGTGGGCGTGGGCGTGGGCGTGGGCGTGGGCGTGGGCGTGGGCGTGGGCGTGGGCGTGGGCGTGGGCGTGGGCGTGGGCGTGGGCGTGGGCGTGGGCGTACAGGAAGCTGAGCTTGGTGAGGTTGCCGATGAAGGAAGGCAGATCCCCGGAGAAGGAGTTGTAGCGCATGCTCCTGGTGGGGTAGGTAGGTAGCGCGTGACCATGACGCGTTGGTGGGTGGGTGGGAATGGCGTGGGCGGGATGGTGGGTGGGGACGATGGGAGGATGGGAGGATGATGAGAGGGGGCGATGGGAGGACGATGAGTGGGGACAATGGGTGGAAGGACGGTGTGTGTGAGAATGGTTTGGTTTGCTTGTGTAAAGGAAGGTTGGTGGGTGATTGTGAAAGCGGGCACACAACAGGGCGACGAGACTGAGCAAGTGGGGGGGGAGAGGGAGGGAGGGAGTATAGGTGGGTGGGTGGGTGCTGACAGGTAGTCGAGGTTGCGGAGGGCCTTGAAGTTGCTGGGGAAGACCTGGCGGAAGTAGTTGTCGCCCAACAGCCTGTGCGCGCCAACGCCAAGCATGCAGTGGTGCGCGGGACAAGGGGAGAAAGGGGAGAGGGGAGGGGCGAGAGAGGTTTTGAGCTGTTCAAAAACAAGTTGCTCGGGAAGACCTGGAGTAGCAAGCAGGCACGAGTGGGTCTTCATGATGTATGGTGGACGCATGTGCGATATCCCCGATGCCACAAACGACCACCACCACCACGCAGCACCCAGTACAGAGCACCCAGCATAGAACCCACAACAGGCTCTCTTCGGAAAATTTCCACAAGCCAGCGATTTTGAAAGCTTTTGTTAGAATTCTAGAAAACATCGAATTCAAGGGCGTGGAGGGGGGGAGGAAGGGAAGGAGGGAGGGAGGCACTGACAGGCGCTGCAGCTTGGTGAGTTTGCCGATGGAGTTGACGCGTCCAGTGAGGCGGTTCTTGTGCAGGTACCTGCAAATGCCGTGCCGCGCACGCACACAAGAGAGGAGGGGGGTTTGTGCCGTGAGTCACATGGACGGATTGGAGCGCGCATGGGCGCGAGGAGAACGCGACGGAGAAATGAGGGGTTGGCGAGGCAGTGCGAGGGTGAGGCAGTGCGAGGGTGAGGCAGTGCGAGGGTGAGGCAGTGCGAGGGTCCGTGAGGCAGTGCGAGGGTGAGGCAGAGCGAGGTGAGGCAGCGCGAGGGTGAGGCAGCGCGAGGGTGAGGCAGCGCGAGGGTGAGGCAGCGCGAGGGTGAGGCAGCGCGAGGGTGAGGCAGCGCGAGAACGGCGGCAGTGACAGCAGCGGCGGCAGTGGCATTAAGCGGCGCTCACAGCTCCTTGAGGTTGACGAGGTTGCCAATGCTGCGCGGCAGCAGCCCGTTCAGCCCCTCCTCGCCCGTCGCTGCCAGGTTGCTGCCAACGCCGGGGGAGGGGGAGGGAGAGGGGAGGCGGAGAGAGGTGGGAGGTGAGGTGACGCGCGCACGAGGGAGGAGTTGAAAAGGAGGGCCGTGTATAAGACGATCATAAGGAATTTGAGACTCTCGAGATTCGGCGCGGGAAGAGGGGAGGCGGAGGTGCGGTGAGCGCGAGAGAGAGGGGCAAGACAAGGATAAATAGGATGCGGATGCGGAAAGGTGCAGCATGGGAGCACGAGAAGCGTACAGGCGAACGAGGGAGGCGGGGGTGCGGGCCTTACAGGTACACGAGACTCTTCATCATGCCAATGAACGCCGGAATGGTTCCCGTCAGCCGGTTCAGACTCAGATCGCTGCGTAGGAGAGCGCGGAGGGCAAAAGGTAGGAGCAGAGAGAGGGTGAGCAAAGGAGAATCGAGACTGCCGAGGCTGGTTGGAGGCTGGAAAGCTGTGGATTTGAATCGGCAGCAACAGCACGACCATGTGGCAAGGGGAGGTGTGGTCGGCATCCTCGGACGGAGAGGCAACGGCAGCGGGAACAAGCTCGTCTGACTTTCGCATCTCGACATGCAGCGGCGGTGGCAGCAGCGGCAGCCGCAGTTGCAGCTGCAGTTGCAGCGGCAGCAGTGGCAGCGGCAGCCGTGGCAGCAGCGGCTGCGGCAGCGGCAACAGCAACAGCGGCAGCAGCAGGGAGAGCGCTCACAGGTACGTGAGTCGCATAGTGGCGAGGGCAGTCGGAATGGGACCCTCAACTCCCGAGTCGGAGAGATCGCTGATCAGACGGATGGGTGGAGAGGGGTAACAGTGAGGAAAGGAGGAACGGCCGGTTGATGAGGGGAGCCGTGTGAGTCGGAAGGGATTAGGCGACGTGGCAGTACATCGACGATGACGGTGACGGTGACAGTGACGATGACGTTGACAGTGACGGTGGCGGTGACGGTGATACTGACGGTTACGAATGACGGTGAAAGAGGAAACCGGAAACGTTCAGTTCTGCTGATGGCAACGACGACGTCGCAGCGCCAGCCAGACGAGGACTCCGTTTCTCATACACACACCGTGACACCAAGGGGGAATTCGTCTGGGAGAATCGAGCGAGGGGAAAGGTGGGGGGATGGAGGGAGGAGGGGGAGAGCAAAAGGAGGGGTGCGGCGAGGCGCGGAGGGCTCACAGGTGCACGAGGCCGCGAATGGCGGGGAGAGCTTCGATTCCTTTGGACACGTCGGGGTTGCCGCTCAGGTCCCTGCCGGGTGCGGCGGGGCGAGAGGGCGAGAGGACGAAAGGGCGAGAAAGCGGTTGAGAAAGAGGAACAGAGAGAGAAGGAAAAAAATCGGGTGAGGACCTTCACCCGAAAAAGAAGAGCACGGGGGGATGCGAGAAATTCGTGGGAAAAGAAAACGGAGGATGCGAGCGCAGGAAGATTTATACGAAAGCAGTGGTGTATGTGTTGGTGACGGCTGCGTGAGTGCTCACAGGTGCACGAGCCCCCTGAGCTTGCTGAGGCTGCTGATAGATCCGTTGATAGAGTTGCTCGACAGGTCGCTGTCGGGGGACACGCGGAGCCACAGGCGGATACGCGAAGCGGCAGAGAGGCGAGGAGGCGGAGACACGAAAAGAGGTGGATAAACAGAGAAATAAAGGGAGAGAGCGGTGAGGGGCGAAGGGACAGGACTTTAACAAGGAAGTTGCAGAGATCAAGGGTTTCTATCGGATACGAGAACTCGGAGCTCTTCTATCTCGTGCCGCAGAGAGCCACGTATTGACTGTAACAGCTTCGGACTCGCCTCGCTCCTCACGTCTCCCCCGCCATGCGACCCTCCGCGACCGCTGCCCCCTGACGCCTACCCCGCTCGTCCACTTACAGGTATCGCAGCGACGCGAGCTTAGTAAGCGAGCCGATGGGACCCTTAGCTCCCGCCTCCACAAGAGTCCTGCGGACATGCGGAAAGAGGAAGAAGGGGCAGCAGCGACGAGGAAATGCGAGGATAGGTGAGCGGGCAGGAGAGGTGTAGGGGTGAGGGGGAATGGGCGAGGGGAGGAAGGGGGGTGAGTTGAGTGTATAAGTTGAGTCATAGCGCACGAGAGAAAGCAGTCCTACTGTTGTGCGTAGATCATGAGTAGTTTGCTTGTTGCGGAAGTAACAAAATAGTGCGCGCCGTATACCAGACAAAAAATGTAAGAAGGAAAAAAGCGATACGCTGACGACTCCTAGAATATGGCGTCAACCAGCTGCGACCACGCGGCTCACGGGCGCGGTCGTGCTGCTGACGTGGCAACGTACATGTTGTTGATGTAGCCCTTGGGATTGCAGCGCACGCCCGCGTACGTGTTGCAGCGGCGCGGCCCGCCCGATTGGGTCCACGTGGATGACCCCTTGAACTTGCCCCACTGCTGCACGAGCTCCTTCAACACCGCGTCTGCTCGCACGGGAAGAGAGTGTGGTTATGAGTGGAATTACTACGACGAGTGTGTCAGATAGGAAAATGCTGGCTTTAGAAGCTGGGATGCGAGGCGGAGAGGTATTAAGGGGTGGGAGAGGCGACGGGGACGGATGAAAGAGAACGAGGGCGTGACGTTGTGAAAGAATGCAGGCTAGGGGGGAAGGAATAGCTGTTGGTACGGATGCTGTTGAATGAGCTGCCTTACGCTGCTTTGGGTCGAGGTACGGCCGCTGCACAGCGAGACATCCGGCGGTGTTAGCGGCGACAACCAGGAGCACGAGGAGCGCCGAATTGATAACTGAATTCATAGAGCGAGCTTGCGAGTGGGCTGCCATTGCATAACCTGGGAGTGCTGATCCAGAAAGCTAACACTGGTATACTACCGGTAATTTTTTTTACAGAGATTTCTCCCAAGGTATTTTACAAAGAGGGAAAGCTGAGTTACGGTGAGTCTGATGTTCGGTTCGATGGAAGAAGCAACCAACTAAATGACGGCTTGACTTGCTTATTTGAGGCGAGTCAAGGCGAACTCGTCTCACGTTTCCCATCGGGAACTCGTCAAGCAGGCAACCTCGCGCCGTGATTCTGCCAACCTGGATGTGCCGCGCGTTCCGAAAATAATGTGAAATTGCGGCTCGAACTTTGAGAGATCGTTGTTTCTGGTTACTCTGTTCAGCGATGGATGACGAATCGAATTGGAGTACGGAGATGTTCGTTTTCCTATCACAAGTGATCGTTTTCTCGCCAGGTAGACGTTCGCAATTCAAACCTCTCATCCCAACGCGCCATTCAACGCTTGATGGTCCGGCGATAGCCGAGGGCGGTTTGAGAACATTTGCCGCCATAACAGTGGCTGGTGATTCTCAAAGCCGAGACGCGCTTCGAATGACGAAGGCCCGGACGTGGCAAAAAATACGAACGAGTATACCCGTCTCGATAGGCTTATGGTGGCAATTTTAGAAAACGAGAAAGCGGGGAACATACCAGTAGTTTGTCGTTTTAAAAAAAGGCCATGTCATCCAATCAAATCAATGTAGCATCTAGCAACCTATGGTTGCGTGGATACATACTCGATTTAAAGTTTTGACACAAAAAAAATCGATCTATTACCGCAAATTTACACACCTTTTTCATCTCGGTGTGGAAAATGATATCTTGCTGAAAGGGTGGTCAGGTGAACTCCATAGCACGTTATGATCTTCTTAAGCTATGATAATGATAAACCCACAGGGCGTCGACACTGATGAACTGCACATATACTTGGGAGTTCTCATGCTTTTGAGGCGGGTTTGGGGGTGGGAAAGAGGGATCCATGTAGCAACAAATGCTCATCATTTGTTCTTATCAGGGACGAGAATACCGTACATTAAGCAATATGGTGTACTGCAATCAGGGTTCTCGTTATCAGACCAATTTGGTCTGATGGTCTGAGTTTAAGACTTGATTTTTTGTATTCATCTGCTTCCTAAGACTTTGTGTTTTTTCTCATCTGATCAGTAAGACAAGCGTTTCAGGTTCGTATGATTTTCCAGACCATGTAGAATTCTTAATCTGAATATACAGATATCGAGTTCGGTTTCGTCTGAAACCGACATCTTGACCCACTAGGCCATATGCCCAGTAGACGAGGATAGGACCACAGGTACAGCCATTTGCTGCCCTGTAACTGCACACGCATTCAATACGCGTGTCCAGTGTCGAGATAGCTAGGCAAGGTGGTTCGATTGACGAGAGAGTTTGGTACAAGAAACACAACCCTAAAGTGTTATCCCCTATAACATCTACCCCACTACAGCCTACCAATATATATCACACATATATATCATTTGACACACCCCCATAGGCAAAGTGGGGGAGAGCAACGGGTCACAAGACCAGTCAAGAGAAGCAAAACAAGCTCAGGGTGGATCACAACATCACCACACATTCTGAGCACAAGCAAATGGCCACAAGGCCAGTTCACATGCAGAGATATATATGCAGCAATAACAGTACAGTGATGGCTACCTAGCAAGAGCCAGCATGCAGGTATATATATATATATATATATATATATATATCACAGTACAAGCAGAGACTACAGCAAGTGTGGAAACGTAGGCACAAGGCCCAACAGAGTACAAAAGCGCTGATGATCACCAGACGGAAGTGCCTTGGTGAATATATCAGCAGTGTTGGCCCGAGTGGCCACGTGACGAAGACGAAGCTGACCTCGCTGCTGCAACTCTCGAGCCAGGAAGTAACGCAGAGCAATGTGCTTCGTTCTGTGCTCCAGTCTGTGCTCCTCACACAAGGCAATGGCCGCCTTGTTGTCAACGTACAGCACTGGAGGAGAACGAGGCCGCTCACCCAAGTCAGTCAGCAGGTAGGTGAGCCAGCGTAGCTCCTGTGCAGCCATGGCGGTGGCGTAGATCTCAGCCTCACAACTGGAGCTGAGAACAGAAGACGAGCGTGTAGACCGCCAAGAAACAGAGCCAGAGCCAAGGCTGAAGGTGTAACCCTATGACGACCGCTGTGTAGCCTGGTCGTCAACCCAAGATGCGTCTGAGTGCCCAGTGAGGACCACCTCACTCCGTCCTCCAAGCACGAGCCCCATGCCCGATGTACTGCACAAGTAGCGCAGTACCCTCTTAGCAGCAGCCATGTGCTCTGGTCGGTGCCTACCAGGAGCCACGTAGCGAGCGAGAAGGCCAAGAGGGTACGCAAGGTCAGGACGAGTGCAGGTCATCAGGTACATGAGGCAGCCCACTAGCTCTGGGTAAGGACCACTCGGCTCTACGGACTCGTCCGAAGGTGGAGCTGAGAGCGAGTGACCTGTAGCCAGAGGAGTGTGCTGTGGCGAGGACCAGGTGAAGCCGAAGCGCTGAAGGACCTGCTGCACCATGTGTGACTGAGTCAGTGTGATGGTGCGGCGTGCTCTGTCCCGAGTGATCTGCAAGCCAAGGTAACTGCGCAGCTCACCCAGGTCTGTGCACGTGTGTCTCTTCTGCAGCTCCGACTTCACCAAGGCGAGAGCCTCAGTGTCAGCAGTGGCAAAGACTAAGTCGTCTACGTACACGAGGATGTAGAACGGTGGCAGCGAAGTGTCGGTGCGCAGGAACAGCGACGGGTCAGCTGTCGAAGGAGCGAACCCAAGAGCCGCCAGTGTCGTCCTCAGTGTGTCGTGCCACTCACGTGGCGCCTGGCGAAGACCGTAGACTGGCCGCCGGAGGCTCCACTGGGTACCAGGAGGGAACGACCCAGTGAAGCCAGGTGGGCGGCGCAGCCAGATCTCCTCGTGCAGGCTGCCCTGTAAGAAAGCTGTGCTGAAGTCAAGAGAGTGAAGCTCGTAGTCACGGTGAGCGGCAACGTGCAGCAGCACCCGAAGAGTAGTCATCTTCGGGGTAGGGGAGAAGGTATGGAAGAAGTCAACTCCCTCTCGCTGACTGAAGCCTCGTACAACGTAACGAGCCTTGAAGACAGGCGGAGAACCCGGCGGCCGCTTCACCCTGAAAATCCACATGCCATCGACGATGTTCGCCCCAGGAGGGGGAACCTCATCGATGTAAGTGCCTGTGGACTTCCAGGATGCCATCTCTGCGTCCATGGCTGTCTGCCACTGAGAGGAGTACTCACCCGCCATCGCCTCAGCGTAAGAGCGCGGGGTCGGGATGTCTGGTGCATCCGGGTCTCCCTCAGGGGCAAGCAGCATGGCCACGAGATGAGGCGCAGCAGCCGCAAGACACTCAAGGTCCTCGTGCCTGTCCTCAAGGACGTCCGTGCTAAGAGCACACTCACCCCCGACGGACGGAGGACAGACAGACTCAGACTCAGTAACAAGACTGGCAGCGAAGTCTAGACGACAGGCAGCAGCAAAGTCAACAAGCTCAGCGACAAGAGCAGACGCAGCAGCAGACTCAAACGACGGGTCAGTGACAACAGTGGCTAGTAGACGCGTGACAGTAGGGTGCTCAGCACGAACGCAGGGTCCGGAACGTCAGGCAAAGAGGACGCAGGAGGAGACGGCAGAGGAACAGGCTGCGGAGCAGAGGAAGGACGACGGACTACGAGGTGTGCGCTGGGGACAGCCGGCTGACGCGAACGAGGAACACGACGACCGGTACGACCAGGACGAGCAGGCGAGACAGGACGCGACGCAGGCTCACGACGCTCAGCAAGACTACCAGTCTGCTCAGTGTAAGGAGAAGGAGCAGGCAGCGGTGAGCCAGGCTGTAACGGAAGACCAGTAGACGACGGGAGAGTAAGAACCTGACGAAGAGCAGAGTCAGACGGCGGCAGAGACGACGGAGACGGCGGAGCGAAGAACAGTCGTGTCGGCGCAGCTGCGCCAGTACCGGCAGCTCCAGCAGCTCCAGCACCTCCAGCAGCTCCAGCACCTCCAGCAGCTCCAGTCCCAGAACCGACACCTTCAGTCCCACTGTCTCCAACCTCAGTGTCTCCAGCAGCAGCACCCCCAGAACCAGCACCCCAAGCCCCAGCAGCTCCAGTACCCCCAGGACGAGCACCTCCGGAACCAGCGACTCCAGCAGTAGAGCCCCGGGCTCCAGCAGCGCGACCCTGACGGCGACCGTACTGGTCCTGCAGCTGCTGTGAGGTGAGAGGCACACGTGGACGAAGGCGGCTACTCCAAGGAGACCGCGCAACAGCAGACTCAGAACCCTCAGCGCCAGCACCCCCAACTGCTCCAGAACCTCCAGCGCCAGCACCTCCAGGCTCCTCACGCGTAGGCTCAGTACCCGTAGACTCGGCACCCCCAAGCTCAGCACCTCCAGGCTCCTCTCGCGCAGGCTCCGCACCCTCAGACTCGACACCCCCAAGCTCAGCACCTCCAGGCTCCTCACGCGCAGGCACAGCACCCCCAGACTCCGCACCTCCAGGCTCAGCACCTCTAGGCGCCTCTCGCTCAGGCTCCGCACCCCCAGGCTCAGCACCCCCAGAGACAGCACCCCGAGCAGGACCACCTCCAGCAGGACCTGAGTCACCAGTGACCTCAACAGGCGCAGGTACCGGAGGGTCTACCTGAGAAACACCTGAAGGAGCAGGACCTGGCGCGGGGAGGGGGTCTACCTGGGGAGGACCTGGAGCGAGAAAGAGCGGCGGGGGGGGGCGAGAGGCAGTGCGGTAGGGAAAGAGACGGTAGAAGGGAACAGACTCGTCAAAGGTGACGTCCTGAGACGCAAAGACACGACGCGAGGTGGGGTCGTAAAACTGCCAGCCAGGCGCATCAGGAGGAAAACCAAGGAAGACGCAGGGAATGGCGCGAGCAGAGAGCTTGTCCGCGGTGAGATCGCGGACAAAGGCACGAGCACCCCAGACCCGGAAACGTGACGCATCGCCAACCTCCCCCGTCCACAGCAGCGTGGGCGAGGTCTCCGGCAAGGAGACACGGGGCCAGATGTTGAGCTGATGCGCGGCGTACCGGACCGCGAACGGCCACAGAAAATGGGGAGCCGCCGCATGGATCATGGAGGTACGAGCGACCTCCATGACTAAGCCAATGCGGCGCTCAGCAACCCCATTCTGCTGCGGAGAGGCCGGAAGCGTGAACGACTGGGTAATGCCGTGCTCCGCACAGAAGGCTGCCAAGAGGTCAGAGGAGAACTCACCACCTCTGTCAGAGTGCAGACGCAGGACAGGGAAGTCCCGCTCGAACCGCTCGCGGAGCTGGAGACGCACAGCGCGGATCCAGGGGATCAAAACAGCAGGGACGTCCCCCTTGCTGCGCAAAGGGAAGACCGTGGTGTAACGCGTGTAGTCGTCAACAACCAGCAAAAAGTACCGCTCACGGCCCTGTCCCTGGACGCGGGCTGGGCCCCACACGTCCAGGTGGAGCGTCTGCAGGGGAGCCTCTGTGGGAGGAAACGAGGAGGAGTGAGGAGCGGCGCGCTGCCGCCCCTCGACGCAGGGAATGCAGGGCGGCGCAGGCGAGGGAGGGAGGGCAGGCAGAGACCTGGGAAGCCCAGAGACCAGGGAGCGAGAGTGCATGCCACGAAGGCGAGGAAGGGAGGGGTGACCAAGGCGGTGGTGCCACAGAAGCGTGTCGTGCGACAGGCGGCGGCACTCACACTGGGTAGCTACCTGAGCAGACGCGTACAGCTGAGGAGACAAAGGAGTGTAGCGTGAAACAGTGGTGAGGGTGTACAGACTAGACCCCGGCTCACGAGTGAACGTGGCCAGGTGGCGGCCAGTCTTGGAGCACGTACAGATCGCCACACGCTGCCCTCCAGGAGTCCAGGTGTCAACCCAGTGATCCTGGAGGACGGCGTTGCTCACCAGGTTCGTAGAGAACGAGGGAACGTGGAGACCTGACAGCTCACCAGACGGGACCGCCGGGCACGGGAGCACAGTCGTGGCTCGTGCAAGCACTGGGCCCCCAGAGGGGTCAGCCAGTGAGACAGGGACAGGTGCAGGGAGGGGAGTGACGGTGGTGCTATCGCGAAAGAAACAGCGGGAAGCACCAGAGTCAAGTGTAAACGTGTGCAAGGCCTGAGTCGACTCAGTACCAAGGGGAGCAGACTCACTAGCACCTAGGGCTGCAGCCCTTATACCGGGGTCAATACCAGGATCAGGCGGCACACACAAGTAACAGTCACCCTCAGCACTAACAGTCAATGCATACATGGCAGCAAGAATAACATCATAGTCCAGATCAAAGATAGGCACATCACGCCTAAGCAGCTCGGCCCAGTTGGGGAACTCAGTAGCATCAGGATACTTGGCACGCCAGGCGTCACTAAGCCTAGCAAAACAACGATACTCAGTGTGAAAACCGTTGCAGGGGCGACCCTTGCGGGGGCCAGTACGAATGACATAGGGGCAGCGGTCAGAACCCCGAGACGCCCCACGCCCAGCATACCAGTCATTGAGCTGCTGGGAGGTGAGGGGAGGAAGCTGCTGCTGCTGCTGTGGCTGCTGCTGCTGCTGCTGCTGCTGCTGCTGGCCACCAGTGGGGCCACCCTTCTGGCCAGATCCACCCCCACTCCCACCTCCACCGCCACTGCCGCTGCCTCCTCCCCCACCACCGCCGCCGCCGCCTCCACCGCCCCCGGTCCTGCCGCCACCCCACCCACCGCCTCCACCCCCACGGCCACCCCCACCACCTCCACCACCCCCGCCGCCTCCACCACCGCTCCCTCCACCGCCACCTCCGCCACCCCTGCCACCCTTGCCGCCCCTGCCACCACCACGCTTCCCACCAGGAGCGGAAGCCGCTGCGACCTTCTCCGCACCGAGGAAGTCGACAGCAGTAGCAGCAGAGGCGTAGGAGGGGTCAAGAGGGGAGGGGGAGCACCCCTCAAAGAGGGGAGTGCGGGGAGTGCCACGAGCAGCACCGACAGCGAGGATGTTCTTCTCTGCTGCGACCAGCTGCTGCTCGAAGTCGTCCAGAGTGATAGTTGGAGGATCCTTGGCAAGGAAGTGATCCCTGACAGAGCGAAGAGTGTCAGGGAGGCGGGTGACGAGGATGTAGAGGGTGAAGTACAGCGGGGGGGTGTTCGTGGCGAGGAACTCGTTGGTAAGAGCGGCTCGAAAGCGGGCGTCACTAGCGCGGAGGTGAGTGATAAGGTCGGCAGCAGTGTGAAACGAGGCTAAGTCTGGGAACAGGTAAGGCAGGATGAGACTACCAACGGTGGCTGTGGCCGGGGCGGAATAGCGGGCAACGACAGCATCATACAGCGTCTTAGCAGTCTTAAGCTGGTTGAAATGCGCGCGCTCAGAGATCGGTAGGTGATTGCGAATAACAAGGCGCGCGACTGCGTCGCGGAGCTCCCACTGTGCTCGTTCAGGGGCAGGAGCAGTCTCAGCGGGAGTAGGGACAGTGCCAGTGACATAGGCTAGTAGTGATACTCCGTCTGCGACGTCAGTCATAAGGTAAAGCCGCAGATCACTAAGCCAGGTGTCAAACTCGATGGGGCGGCCGTCAGGCTCAAAGGCGAGAACAGTAAGGGTCGCCATGGTTGCAGCGCAGGCAAAAGTAGCAGGCTCAGGCAGCAGGCTCAGGCAGCAGGCTCAGGCAGCAGGCAAAGGCTGCAGGTTCAGGCAGCAGGCAACTGTAGCAGGCAGGTGCGCAAGGCAGACGGTAGAGACGCAAGGCAGGCAAGAAAAAGACAGGGTAAACCCTAAACCCTGGCGGCAGGTACAGGCGGACGCAATGCACGGGGCAGCAATGCGCTGTACGAGCGGCGAACGCGACGTGCAGGGCCTAGGCGGGCTGCGCGCGGACGGTAGGTGCAGCGCGCAGCTCTGGAGTGGGCCGCGCAGGCAGCAAACGCGACGCGCGGGGCGGAAAGGGGCTTCGCGCAAGCAACAGATGCGACGCGCGGGCTGCAGACGGGCTGCGCGGGGCCTTAGCGGGCTGCGCGAGGCAGGGACGGGCCGCGCGCGAGCTGTGCGGGCTCAGGGCGGGCTGCGCGGGCGACGGACGGGGCGCGACGCGGCTGGCAGCAGCAGTGCGCGCTAAAAAAAAAAAAAGGCGTGCGCGCGCAGCCGAGGCGCGCGCGGGCAGCAGGCTAGGCAGACAAACAGGCAAGGCAGGTAGGCAGGCCGTTGGTGAGGTAACTTAGTAACTGGTGGGCCCTTAAACTTAGGTCCTAAGAACCTGCTCTAGATGCCATGTCGAGATAGCTAGGCAAGGTGGTTCGATTGACGAGAGAGTTTGGTACAAGAAACACAACCCTAAAGTGTTATCCCCTATAACATCTACCCCACTACAGCCTACCACTACATATCACACATATATATCATTTGACATCCAGTAGCAGCCTCGCTGTCATGTAACTGCGGCATATGCTGCCAAGAGTTTGTCGTGTGGCTGGCTGTCGGCACCGACGCCAGCCACATCCACGGCAACGCGTTGTCTCGTGCCAGCGCATTTGCATTGTGGTCGTAGTGCCCCCCGCTCCCAACACGCAGCGCCTTTCGGTTCTCAATGCACTGCACGGTGATGGGGTTGACTTTTGACTCTGCAGGATTACAGTAGGTTGACTTTTGACTGAATTTTTTTTTCGTCTTATGTATCAGACTAGAAAAATGTTTTCAGCTTATAATGCAGACCATGAAAATTTCGTCGTCCGAGCATAAGACGGGGGAAAAAATTTCCAGGCTACTGTCAGACAGCCGCAAAACCTAGCGAGAGCCCTGACTGCAATAGATACAAAACATGATTGGTGGTACTTGGTGCAGGGTCAACGGCGCTAGATGGAATGGCCCAACTGGTGGTAGTGGCGGTTCATGTAGATGAGGGGATGGAAGTCACTAACATCCATCGCTACCACCTGCAACACGGAAACAAAGGGCGCATGAAAATGAAGTAGTAGATGAAAAGGTACTCGAACCAGGAGAGGAGAAATTTGTGGATGAAAGTTACGGATAATGTGACGAAATTGCAGCAGAAATGGAGCATTCCAATAGGGCGCACAAGATATGACTCACTTGACCAAGAAGCAAGTGATGGTCCCCTGCATCATGCATGGCATATGTGCGGCACAGCAGCATTGCCATTGTGCCGCCAATGCGAGGCACAATGCTGCTTGCATCAGCTGATGCTGCTGCATCACTGCTGCCTGCTGCAGCGCCATTGTTGTTCGCAGTGAAGTTCGACAGAGAGACAAGCTCCCAGTCCTTCACAACGCTGAAGAGGGGAAATCGGGGGAGGAAGAGTGTGAAGATTCAGGACCAGATGCAAACGCACAGGATATGGGTACATCTTACAGATTTCGCTGAAAAATGAGGCCGGGAAAAAGGGTAGAGAAAATGAAGACTTTATGCAACAGGTACAAAAAAATAAAGGAGTGAAGGGAGCACCTGGAGAAGGCCTCTGGTGTGCTGTCCGCCTGTTGAAGTTCAAGTGACGTCCGAGTGACACCACCAAGGAAAAGACATGAGATTGAGGGGGGGCACAAGGTAAACAGTGAAGAGGGTAGGAAGACAATATAGATAAGGTAATTCTGCTTGGAGTCACATACTGTGCGAAGCACATGTCATGGTGTGAGAGGGTAACGCCATGGCACGAACGCAAGTATTTTAGCTGGCGTATGTGGGCGTCACTTGTGCGACAGAAATGTGGGGGGAGGAAGGAAGTTAGTAAAGGGGATGGAAGGATTTCGGGAAGGGTGAGGAGGGATGGAGGACGGGAAATAAGAGTGCAAGATTATGCACAAAAGACGAGCAGAAGAAACACGGGAGGAGTGAGAGGAGGGCCACATGTAGAGAAGTGAGGTGCAAATGGGAAAGTGTTGGAAGTGACGTCTTACGAGTTTGTGGAAAATATTTTAAAAGAATCCTGGCCTAACAGCGTGAGCGACTCACTGGTCGTGCAAAGCCGTTGGCGAAGTCCTTGTTCGCCTCGTTCAGTAAGTGCACACCGAAACCCGTGCTGCGATTCAGCACCTGCCATGCACGAGCATACACACCGTCGCCAGATAGAAATACTACGTGAATGGGATTGGATCATGGGGCAGCAGCATTGCGTGGTCTGAAACAATAACGACGAAACGAGCATTGGGAAGATCTGGCAGCAGTTACGTCGATTTGATGCGCTAATGAAAACGCGTTTGAAGGGAGGGTTTCTGGCAGGTGGTCGTACATCAAGGAAGTGGGATTCTTTGCGAATGCAGACGGAGATGAGCGGCGGATCCATGGACACACTGCACACACGCACGACGACACGCTCTTGTTATGTTAGGCACATAGTTGCTGGTAATGAAATCGCAAAGGATCAAAACGCATGCATTATCTGATGTTTTCATTGCTGAACTTATCATGCTATGTCACATTCTGTGCCAAGTTTGTGTAGTTTGATGTGAACGGTCAAATTGTGCGAAATGCTCACCTGATGAAGCTACTGCACGTCATCCCTCGCACGTGCAGCTCGTCATCCGCTTCAGCTTGAGCTTCACCTTTACCTCCTCCACCACCGCTGCTGCTGCTGCTGCCGCTTATCGAGCCTTGATACGCCGCAGTCACGACCACCACTGGCGCGGGAACGTGTCGCAGCACATCCAACATGACGTCCCGCTGAAACGGCTTGATCGTAGCGTGCTCCGCTTCGGATTTCGCATCCTGCTCGTCGTCGGATCTCTGAGGGACTGCGAGCTCCGCTTCCGGTGTCCCCGCGTGGCTGCGTCGCAGTTGCCAGCTGGTTTGGCACGGCGCTGCGCTACTAGTGACTGCGCTGACATGAGCACATGAGAACGGGAGGCGGCACGGGATCGCGACGGCGGTTGCCGTTACGTTTTGTGAATTCAGCAGCGAGGGCGTCAGTGTTGACGTGTACAGCGTTCTGTGGGTCGGATTGAAGCACCCGAGCGGAATGCATTCCAGAGAAGGGTCGCGGTTGGGTGAAGATCGTGCAGCGGAGGTTCCAGTGGCAATGCGAGGAAAGCCGCGGAAGCGGAGCAACGACCGAGCGTGGGTGAGCGCGCGGCTGCTGCTTTGGAACGTCGCCATCACCCAGGCTTCTGAGCGGAAGCTTGATGGAAGCACAGGAGGAGGCTGGGTTCAACTTATGGGCTACTTCAGTGAGGTATGCGTCACAAAAACTGGTGATCTAGCTGCTTCGAATGGACGATGGAGCAGAGAAAAGCCAGTCCTCGTATTTATAAACAAATACGGTCTGGTCGAAGTGTGGGCAAGCCCGATGGATAAACCGTCGGATGAAAGCATAGTTGGGAGATTCCCGAGACTAGCTCTGATCCCTCGCCCAGCGACGGGAGAGGGCGAGGAAGACCCAAGGGAGAAACACCAATGCTGTTCTTGGCTGGAGTCCTACAGCCCATACCACCACCCCCTTGTGCGGGAAGGGGAGCGACTGTGAAGTGGCGGTGGCGGCGGCTCTTCAGGCCTTCAGAAGTCTTCCTGGCTACTGGTGCGAAGAGTACACACGACCCTACCAGCCCCCAAAGTACAAAATGTCTCTTCGCCCATTCTGCCCCAGATTCTTGATGATGAGGATGTCGGTGCCAGCCAAGCTGGCACGAAATTGACCAATCCCGACGAGGAATCAGCGTCATAAAGCGTGTGGTGGTTATTGTGCAATTCAGCGTCATGCTACACTAGAAACGAAGACATTCTCGTGAATTGGGAATGCGATATGAAATCTTGCAAGTAAAATGCAATTTTCTATTCATGTCTATCTTGAAAGTGTAAAACACGTTTGGTTCTTGCATCCATATGCACATTCCCTTGTATAAGTCTGTGTATGTCCAGCATAACAACAAGACCTGAGCATGCACAGGTTCCTACCTTTCACTTCTTATAACAGTATTAGATTGTCCGCCCTATTATTTCGGTAATGCTTGTTGTTAGGCCCGACGGCCTAAGTCCGCTAAAGAATTAGCGGGGTCGACTAAGTCGAGGATGAAACGCGGCGGAAGACTTTGGCGAAAGAACTATTGGCGAAATATGCGAAGGAGTTACTGAGTAATGAAAGAGTTGAACGAGAATTGGTTGATAATGGCAAGTACAAGCAAGGTTTATATAGCGAACAAGAGAGAATGTTGGAAAGTAGTTTGTGGGACAAGGAATTGGAAAGCTAGAAAGGTAGAGTGCCACGTGGCACAAGGAAATCTAGGAAATCCCAAAGGGATTGGATGAAGATAGGGTTGGGATAAGGTTGGGGGTCTGTTTAGGGTAAACTACCCTTGAACAGGAAAGTACCCCGTAACACTACCCCCCTCCCAAGGAGGCGACGTCCGCGGCGCCTGCAGACTGAAGGTACGCTTTGAGGCAAGCGTTGTCAGGAGACAGCGAGGACGAAGGGACCCAGCTGTCGTCGGCTGCATCGTAACCACGCCAACGAACCAAGAAGTCGATGAAGGAGACACCCCCCTGGAGACGGCGACGGTGCCTGAGGATGCGCTGGATCTGGTAGTCGGGCTCGTCGGTGTCAACAGCTACCGGCAGTGGAGTGCGATCACGGCCCGAGAAGGTGGCGTTGGGATCGGTGTAAGGACGAAGGAGAGACACGTGGAATGACGGGTGCATGCGGAAATGAGCGGGAAGGCGAAGGCGGTATGCGACTGGACCAAGTGCGCGCTCAATGACAAATGGACCAATGAAACGTGGGCGAAGCTTGCCGTCCTGTGGCAGTCGGAGGTTGCGGCTGTCCAAAAGAACACGGTCGCCAACTGCGAACGACACCTCACGACGACTGCGGTTGGTGGTGCGTGCCATGCGTGCATTTGCAAGCTCAAGGTGCTTCCTCACGTGGTCATGAATGAAGGTAAGATGCTGGTAGAAGTTGTCAGCACGTGGGACTGTGGGTGTGAGATCGACACGAGTGGGGACATTGGGGTGCTGACCGTACAGTGCAAAGAACGGTGACATGCCTGTGGCGGAGTGGTGCGTGTTGTTGTATGCGAACTCTGCCATGCTCAGCTTCTTGTCCCATGCTGCTGCGTCGTGCATCGTGATGCTGCGAAGAATCTGCTCCAAAGTCTGGTTCACACGCTCAGTCTGTCCGTCTGTCTCTGGATGGTACGCTGACGACATGGCTAAGCGAGTCCCAAACAGTGCGAAAAGCTGCTTCCAGAACTTCGAGGTGAATCTAGGGTCGCGGTCGGAAATGATCGAATCTGGAACCCCGTGCAGTCGGACTACGTTATCTACGAACAGCGTCGCGGCTTCCTCTGCTGTGACCTGGCCGTGCGTGGGGATGAAGTGCGCTGCTCGAGAAAACTTATCCACTACCACGAAGATGGCGTCGTGACCCCTAACTGTGCGCGGTAAAGCCATGATGAAGTCCATGGTAACTACCTGCCAAGGGCGGTCGGGCGGTGGAATCGGCTGCAAGAGTCCTGCTTTGCGCTGGCGGGATGATTTCGTACGCTGACACGTGTCGCACGAGCGAATGTAATCCTCTACGTCTGCTGCAAGCCCTGGCCAGAAGTACGTGCGACTAAGCGTCTTAGCCGTCTTATCTGCTCCGAAATGCCCTGCACTAACTACGTCGTGTGCCTCTGAGAGAAGGAGCTGTCGAAGAGGGCGGTAGGCTGGAACCCAAATCCGTGCTGTGCCCTTCCGTATGTAGACACTACCCTGCACCTCTGCTCCTGCGGGCGGCTGCGGTGTGAAGTCGGGATCTACTGTGTAACCGTGCTCGAAGAGTGCTGTGAGAAGTGGATGGCCGGCAGTGACTGTGAGACTAGCGAGCTGGCAACTAGGGCGAGTGAGCGGATCTGCTGGGTTGCGAACGCCTGGCTTGTACTCTATCCTGTAGTGGAAACTCCCCTCCATGAACTCCATCCATCTAGCCTGGCGACGACTCAGCTGCGGCTGCGACTTGAGAAAGCGAAGCGAGCAATGGTCCGTGCGTATAACACTATCTGCCCCCTCTAGGTAGCACCTCCACACCTTATACGCATGGATGATCGCGAGCGCCTCCTTGTCGTGGATCGGATAGTTCAACTCTGCTCCCCTAAGCTTACGCGACTCGTACGCGATCGGCTGCAACCCGCGTCCCTGGTCCTGAAGAAGCACTGCACCTATGGCCTGATCTGAAGCGTCGGTCACTACAACGTATGGGCGAGTGGGATCGGGGTACGACAGTGTCGGTGAAGACGTGAGCGACTGCTTCATCTGCTCGAACGCCTGCTGCTGCGCTGGACCCCAAACGTACTCTACGCCTTTCCGAAGTAGGTCGGTGAGTGGACTAGCGATGGAAGCGTAACCCTGAACGAAACGACGGTAGTAGTTCGCGAATCCGAGAAAGCTCTGCAACTCCTTGACTGAGGTCGGTGCTATCCAATCCTGTACTGCTGCGATCTTCTTCGGGTCGGTCCTAACGCCACTAGCGGAAACGACGTGACCTAGAAACTCGACCTCGGGGAGGAAGAACTCGCACTTTGACTGCTTCGCGTACAGCTTCTCCCTCCGCAAGACCTCAAAGACCCTCTGCAAGTGCTGCACGTGCTCCTCCTTCGACTTGGAAAATATTAGGATATCGTCTAGGTAAACTACGACGAACGAACCTAGGAACTCCGAGAGGACTGTGTTCATGAGCGTCTGGAACGTTGCTGGGGCGTTGGTCAAACCGAACGGTAGTACCCTAAACTCGTACAACCCCTGCTTCGTACGAAACGCCGTCTTGTGCTGATCCTCTGGAACTACGCGAATCTGGTGGTAACCCGAACGAAGGTCGATCTTGGAAAATACTCTAGCGCCCTGCACTGCATCTAGGAGATCCTCTACTCTCGGCACCGGGAATCTGTTTTTGACGGTGGCGGCGTTCGATGCGCGGTAATCTATGCACATCCGTAACCCTCCGTCTTTCTTAGGCGCGAACAGGATCGGTGCTGCCCAAGGCGATCTAGATGGCTGTATGAACCCCTGCGCGAGAAAGTGCCTAACCTGCTGCGTCATCTCCTCTGTCTCTGCTGGACTCAACCTCCACTGCGGCTTCGCTACTGGCCTGCTCCCCGGCTCCAACTCTATTCGATGGTCTACTGCTCGGCTGGGAGGTAACCCTGGGGGCAACTCGTCGGGGAAGACGTCTGCGAACTCTGCTAACAGTGCACTCACCTCAGCAGGAAGAGTCGCCTTCTCACTAACTGCTGCACTCCCTCCTTTCCCCTCCTCAGCTTCCACCTCCTCAAGGAAAACCGCGAAGATCCGTGCCGCTCGCTTCACTAACTGTCGCACACGAACAGCATTAATGATAGCTGTGGAGGATGTGGCCCCATCGCTCCACTGTGGCAGCTCCCGGAACTCCCCGTCTACCTTGACACTGCAGCTTCCCTTAGCCCAATCGAACCGAGTGCTAACCGTCCGTCGCCAATCTCTCCCGAAGATAAAATCGTATTTGTCCAGCGTCGCAGAGTCGAAGTCACGCCTAACTGTGATCGGTCCTAGCACTACGCGCAACTTGCGAATGATTGGTCCTATGTTGAGTGGCGTCCCATCTACCATACGCGCGTCCTTGAAGTTGACTGCAGAATCTGCTTCGAGATGGAGACGACTAACTAACGACGAAGAAATGAAAGAGTGGCTAGCTCCGCTGTCAACTAGGATCTTGACAGGTACATCGCGAAGCTTCCCTAGAAGCACGACTGGATGATCAACAGTGTCTACCGAGGTCTCCGTAGATGACTGCTGCAAGGCCGTCTCCTCTACGTTGGTAGACCTGGCGGGTACGGGAACCTCCACACCAGCTAGCGACCCGCTATCTACTGGCGGTTTCCCTGCTGCTGCTCCTTGAACTGTGGGCAGTCCCCCTTCATATGACCCGGCTTTTTGCAGTAGTAACAGTTCCCCCTAAAACCCGTCCGCTGTGAACCGTCACTGTTAACTGCACCAATCTCCATGGGCGATGGTCCGTCCCTCGATCGAGCGTCGTTGATCGGTCTGCTGTATCCCCTATCGCGATCGTCACGACCCCGTCGGCTTCGTACTGCGTCGACGCGTTCTGCTGCTGCGACTACTGACTCGAAGGTGGACAACCCGTGAATCGCTATAACCTCCGCTATGTCCGCCTTCAACCCTTCGAGGTAGCGATCGCGCATCTCTGCTTCCGTGATGTCGTCTATTTCGTTGCAGATGCTCAAGAACCGTCGTGTGTACTCCTGGACGTTTCCTATCTGTCGGAAATGACGCAGACGCTTCCTAGCAGCTTCGGAGGCGTTCACCAAGTCGAACCTACTTTTCAGCGCCGCTTCAAATCCTTCCCATGTGGTCGGAACCGTGGTAACACCCAAAGCTAAACTCCCTAAGCTCGAAGTTGCAGCTGCATGCCCCACGCCCTGTTGATGCCCGTCCGTCTGAGCCCTTCTAACAGCAGTCTGCGTAAGTTGGCGCCACCACTCCAAGGCCGGGCCCCTCAGCAGCGTCACCGCGTACTCGATCCGCTGCTGCGCGTCCGCCTCTTGCACCCCGCTCGCGGCGAAGTAGTTGTTGAGCATGAAGAGCCACGTCCGCACGTTCGCGTCGCGTTGGCTCGGGTCGAACGACTCGGGCTTCTGCGGCTTGAGTGCACTGCGACGTTCCGGCAGCGCTTCCGCGCCAGTCGACGTGGTGGGTGCAGGAGTTGGTGCGGCATGACCATGGGGGTTAGAAGCCAATTCACGAAGCTGTTGCATTTCAGCTCGTACCTGACGATTTTCCAACGTCAACTCTTGAAGTTGGCGCATGAGTTCGGCAAGCGTGTTGCCCATGTCGTGGGGGAAAGCGTTCATGGATTCGTCCATGTTCGCTCGACGACTCCAAGTCTGCAAGTCGGCACCGCGGGACGATGACGTCGTAGTCTCGTCGTCGACGGTCGCTCGTTGGAAGTCGCTCCCCGCGAAGGCTCTGATACCAAGTGTTAGGCCCGACGGCCTAAGTCCGCTAAAGAATTAGCGGGGTCGACTAAGTCGAGGATGAAACGCGGCGGAAGACTTTGGCGAAAGAACTATTGGCGAAATATGCGAAGGAGTTACTGAGTAATGAAAGAGTTGAACGAGAATTGGTTGATAATGGCAAGTACAAGCAAGGTTTATATAGCGAACAAGAGAGAATGTTGGAAAGTAGTTTGTGGGACAAGGAATTGGAAAGCTAGAAAGGTAGAATGCGACGTGGCACAAGGAAATCTAGGAAATCCCAAAGGGATTGGATGAAGATAGGGTTGGGATAAGGTTGGGGGTCTGTTTAGGGTAAACTACCCTTGAACAGAAAGGTACCCCGTAACACTTGTTCAAATCAGGAAGTACTGTACACAAAACTAGCCGCGGTGCCATCCGCCGCCGTGCGGTTCTATGGTGACGGAGCATCCCCACCCACTCCTCTCCCACTTGACCGAACTCAACCAGAAAGTTAAATCCCAGAACCGGCCCAGAAGTAGCCTTGTGCGCCAGAATCAGCCGTGTCCATTCAACATGGATGACGAATTTCCCGATGCGCGTCGCAACTACCTCTGGAAACCATCGGTGTGCGTGCGGACTGGACAACAAGCATTTGGCTTTGCATGGGTTTCGCAAAATCCACGACCCATCCATGGCTAAATTCAGACCGCATACCCAATCCAACGAACCTCGCCTCTACAGTGTCCAATCACACGAAAAAAAAAGGCGCGAGCTATGATTGATAGTTTCCACTCTCTAAGTTGTGCGAAGAGCACTAACACCCGTAGAACCATTACTGGTTCCACGGGTGATGGCAATCCCTCGAATCATGCCGGCTGTGCCATTCGCGGCACCTGTCTGGCTAACGATTCTCACATCATTCCTGGCGTTCTCTCACGCGCGGGATCTCTCCAACCACAGCCTTCCCACGACCAGGAATTCTGGAAACGTCACGGTGACTGCCGTTCCCCCCTCGTCTTCCCGCGAACACGCCGAATTCGACGGCGCGCGCGGGAATCTCGTGAACCATAATCTACACGGGGGCTCTCTCGCCACCGCCGCCACCGCCGCCGCCGCAGAAGTTGGAAAGCCGACGCAATTCTCCACTCGGTCCGCGATAAGCGCCTATAACGGGCCGCGAATGACGGAGGAAGCGACGGTTCCGGAATGGCTGGACCGGAACGCGCTGCGCGAACTGGAGGAGAGACTAAATCATCTGCTTGGCGATGGCGAGCCTCTCGGTAACGACGGCGACGATGTTCTTCAAGCTCAGGCTGATGCCGATGATGGCGTGTTCGAAGTTGGTAACTGGGATTCGCTTGGGTTTTGGAGAGACAAGGGCGAAACGGGAAGCGGTGGATCGAAGGGAGCGGAAAAGGAGATCGCGTTTGGAGATTGGGAGCGAGAAATTGGCGTGAGGACGACAGCGAAGAGTGATCCGACGGTGCGGAGGAGATCGCTGCGGAAAAAGCCGATCGTGCCGGATCTGATCGTGGCTCAGGACGGGTCGGGAAACGTCACTAACCTCCAGGTATGTATTTGGTGTTTCTCGCGGGCGGGGTTCATTTGTCTATTATACTAGAATAATATATTTTTACAAACGGCAAAATCAAAACTCAAACCTTCGTACCTTTTGTGCAAATCTTATGCCGTGTGATTGAGCTACCACCATTTGCGTTGAGAAGCCTCCAATTTCATACATAGTTCTAACCTCTGTGTAATACTCTTGGTGGTTTCTCTTATTCCGCAATCTCCAACAATGACAGTCTAACATGGCATACCATTACCATAGGCTTGCTCACACAGCAGTCCAAGTTTCAACACTTGCACAACCTAGAGGCTAGAGCAACACCATTGTACGCACCTCCTCCCATGCCCTTTCCTCTCTCACCCTGCACTCTCCCTCCCATGACGGCACTGCCAGGATGCAATACATATAATCAACAGCGAGGGGAGCAGCGCATGGTACATAGTGCTGCTGAAGCCGGGGCGGTATGCAGGCAACGTGGAGGTGGAGCGAGATAACGTGGTGCTGCTAGGCAGCGGTGCGTGGCAGACGGTCATCACAGGGAACCGCAGCAATGGCACTGGCTTTGATACATGGAATACGACCTCATTTGGTCAGTTGCTCTGCATGCTACCCCGCGCTTATACCGATCTCCTCTCCTTCCTCTCAGATCCTCTTCCCGTACCTCTCAGCTTCCCGCACCTCTCAGCTTCCCGCACCTTTCAGCTTCCCGCACCTCTCAGCTTCCCGCACCTCTCAGCTTCCCGCACCTCTCAGCTTCCCGCACCTCTCAGCTTCCCGCACCTCTCAGCTTCCCGCACCTCTCAGCTTCCCGCACCTCTCAGCTTCCCGCACCTCTCAGCCTCCCGCACCTCTCAGCTTCCCGCACCTCTCAGCCTCCCGCACCTCTCAGCCTCCCGCACCTCTCAGCTTCCCGCAAGCTCCCTTCTTCTCTATCCCGCCCTCCCCTCACGCCCCTTTTCATTATCTTCATGCTTTTCAAGGTATCACTGCCCTTGAGCCATTCCAGCTAAAATCTATGTACCTCGCAACTGCACTTGCTTTTTCCGTTCGCTTCTCGCCCCTCTTCCTCTCTTCTTCTGCCCGGTGTCAGCTGCGGCGGGCAACAACTTTGTGACGATGGGCATTCGCTTTGAGAACACGGCATCGCCTGACATGGAGGCTGCAGTTGCGTTCCGAGCATCCGGGGACAGAACCATTGCGTACCGCTGTGTCTTTCTTGGCTTCCAGGTCCACTCTGTCGTGTTTGCTCTCTTCTCTCTTCTCCCTCCTCCCTTCTCTCTTCTCCCTCCTCCCTTCTCTCTTCTCCCTTCTCCCTTCTCTTCTCTCTCTCTTCTCTTGTCTTTTCTCTCTTCTCGCTTCTCCCTTCTCTCCTGCCTCCTCTCTCTGCCCTCTTGTTGCTGCTCTTTTCTCTCTGCTCTCTGCTCAGTCAAGACCGTGCATTCTTTTCCATCTGGTCAGCTCTGCTTTTCAATATTGGTAATCATTCTTGTGCATATTCTTCCTTTCCCGCCCTTCAACCCCACCCTCCACTCCCTTTTTTTTGCCTTCTTCCAACATCAATCTCCCTTTTATTCTCATCTCTCCCTCTTGTTCCTCCTCTCCTTTTTCCCCTCCCTCTCCTCCCCCCTCTCTCTCCCACTCCCTCTCTCTCGCTCCACCTGTCCCTCCCTCTCCCTCTTCCCCTCCCTCTCTCCCCCCCATTCTCCCCTGCTCTATCCCTCACCCTCTTCCTCCCCCTCTCCCTCCTCCCCAGGACACCTTGAACGCGCACCGTGGCCGGCAGTACTACCGCAACTGCGCCATCTACGGCCATGTGGATTTCATCTACGGCCGCCACGGCGCAGCCGTCTTTGACCGTTGCCGCATCGTGCCCATCCCGCGCCCCGAGACCAACAGCCCCGCCACCATCGCCACGCACGGAGGAGACTCAGCCGCCACTAGTGAAGGCGGGTTCATCTTCTACCGCTGCTGGATCGCACGAATCAGCGAGCGCGTGACAACATACCTGGGCAGGCCGTGGAGGCCGCATGCGCGTGTCGTGTACATGTATAGCTACCTTTCTAATGCTGTCGTTCCCGAAGGGTGGGCTCCGTGGCCTGGGAAGAGCTTTGGGCCGATGGCTTTTCTGGGGGAGTATAGAAACACAGGGCCGGGTGCGTGGACGGGTGGGCGCGTAAGGTGGGCTCGGCCTGGCTTGCTGAATGCAACGCAGGTGGCTCCGTTCATGCCTGAAGCGTTTATTCAGGGCAGCCGTTGGGTGCGCAGGACACCTGTGGAGATTGTATACCGTTGACGGCCTGGGATGGGAGTTGAAGGCAGTGCGGTTGGTGGGAGGCGGCTCACGTGTGGGGCGCGTGAAAAGCGGCTGTGGGATACAGGGCGGTGAATGGAGGGCAAGGGATCGAATCCAACTAGCTTCTTTTTTGCCTATTTTTTCCAGAGGTACGTAGATACGAGTGAGACCAGCATGGGGAGTTGGGCTTGTGAGGATGGGCAGCTGAGTGCGGCTGGTTTGATTGCAGAATGTTCTTGACCTAGATCGTCACATGAAGATCCACTGGCATTGAGCTTCCCTCGAGCTCTGGACAGCTGGATCATGGTGCATAACTTCTCGTTCTTCATTCGTGTATTACATTACCTTTACAGAGACTTTCCATTCATGAGAATATTGTGATGTGAACTTCACTGGGCCATACCAGCTAACAATTCTCTCCCACCACCCTTCCAGCTTCGTTTCCCTTTGTTTTCACCCTTGTCCATTGTTGTTGCACTCACCATCGTTTAATACCTTGCGCCGGGTTAGGCAAGCACTATGAATTTTGAACCCAATTACTCACAACAACGTTTTGTCGAGTAATTCAGAAAAATAGCCGTCCGTTTTTTCTGTCGTCCCTTATGTTCAATAAATGATGGAAAATAAGCTTGCCGTATGAATATTTTTTTGGTAGAGTTGAGTTTGTATTATATTATGCAACTATTCATTGGAACTCATAACACGCCCTCTCGTTTACGGCCCATAACATGAGAGCTCTAAAACAGTCCGCGCTGCCGTCCGCCGCCAAGGTGGAGTCGGCTGGAACAGTTGATGCCCTGCTTGATTGCAGGGGTCTCGAGTCTCGACTCGATTCGCTTTGGGGGACACTGACTGGTTGAAAGGTCAACAAAGTTCACCCTGCCACTGCAGTGTGGGAGTTGTGGTGGGATCGTGAAGAATTTGCAGTCTGTTCACTCTTCCCAACTCGGAGCTGGTTGTACAGTAAAGAACGTCAAAATAAAGGGTTAATCTCTTCACGTTGAGTAGTGGTTGCAGGAATAGCGTGGCTTGTTTGGAGGAGGAATAATTGCCATTACGACTGAAGTCAGTTTTCTCAACTATCGCTCCTGCTAGATTAGTGCAGTTGGACGAGTTTCCGAGCGGTCAAAGGCGGGTGTTTTCTGTATGGAGCTTGAGCAAAGCAGTGTTATACATAAAGACAGCCGTTAGTACATGGTGGTTGTAGCGAGGTCAGCAGAGAGTGCTGCATGCGACATTGCTGTTTTTAAGTGTAAACCATAAAACTCAGTTTTTAAACGGACTATACAGGGTAAAACCTCCTGAAAAGTCTGCGCTGCTTGAAAGCTCTCGTCCATCAACCGAATATTTGGAGCGCTGGTGGCCAATCTACAACGTGAGCGACCAATTCCCGAATCGCGTCGCAACAACCTCGAAATGGATTGGTGGGCGAACACAAGATGCGCATTTGCGTTCCGACGAACGTCGCTAGATCCCGAACCACCCAATGGCCAGAATCCTTGCCGGATACAGTACCGCCATCGCAACCGAACACCGAACCAACCAACCAAGCCTGGTAATCATTCACATAAGAATCATGGGGTGGAGAAGTCGTGTTCGATCACAATTGTGTTTGATCAGTCACAGCGATCAGTGTTCCCGCAGCAACTTGAGGTGTTGCCGAAGTTGGTGCAGCAGGGAAACATATCCGTGGGAGCACTATTTTCTTCCACGGGCCATGGCCATTCCTCGCACGGTGCCGTTCGCGGCAGCGGCTTGGCTGATGCTCTTCACATCATCTCTAGTGTCCTCTCACGCACGGAACCTCCGCAACCGCCGCCTTCCCGCAAGCTCCGAAGCCGTTGCGAATTTTCCCGAGATTCTACCCTGGTCTTCCCCCGAAGACGCCAGACATGACGGCGCGCGCGGCGATATCGGAAATACGTCTTCGCACCGCAGCTCTCTCGCCATCGCCGCTGCCGCCGAAGTTGGAAAGCTGGCGCCGCGATCCTCGATGCGGTCCGCGAAAAGCGGCTACCATGACGGACCCCGACTGTCGGGGGAAACGGCGATCCCAGAGTGGTTGGACCGGGACGCGCTGCGTGATCTAGAGGAACTACTTAAGGATGTGCTTGGTGAGCCTGTCGGAAGCGCCGACCATAAAGATGATGATGATGATAACTTATCATCATTGAATGAAGTTGATGACGGAGGCGCGTTCGGAATCGGTGACTGGGATTTGCCGGCGGGGCCTACCAATTGGAGCGACGAGGGAAAACATGGAGGTGGTGCGTTGCGGGGATCGAAGGACGCGACTCGGAGTGCGGCGTTCGGGGATGGGGAGCGGGAAAGCGGCGCGGGGGCGGGGACGACAAACGGCGGCGCTAGTACTAGCCGCAGCAGCAGCAGTAGCAGCAGCAGCGCAGGCGACCGCGGTTCCATCATCCGCGAAAGCGATTGCGGCAGCAGCGGCTGTGGTGGTACGGAGGGTGTTCAGACGACCCGGGGGAAGAGGAGATCGTTGTTGGGAAAACCGGCCCTAGTGCCGAACCTGATCGTGGCTCAGGACGGGTCGGGAAATGTCACTAACCTCCAGGTATGTGCGTATGCGTTGGTTCGCTCGCAGGCGGGGTGATTGATGTCTAGGGCCTACCACATGGTGAACTCATTTGTCCGAAAACCTTGCTGATAACAAAAACGCATGCAGCTTGGACAATCTCAGTGATACTCTCTAAAAAACTATAATAGAAACGTACTTTGTTTCTTCCGAACGCCCACTTTGGGAGATCTTCTGCAGTCTCTTATGTGATCGATTGAGCCACCCCCAGTTGCTCTGAAAAGCCTCAACCTCCATGCATGGGGTTCATCCTTTTTGTGGTATTCTAACAATTTTCTTATTCCCATGTTCTCACCTACACCAAAACCCTCTCTCGCACACCCCGCACGCTCCCATCCCACGACGGCGCCAGGATGCTGTGAGGATTATCAACAATGATATGAGCAGGGCATGGTACATAGTGCTGCTGAAGCCGGGGCGGTATGTGGGCAACGTGGAGGTGGAGCGAGCAAACGTGGTGCTGCTAGGCAGCGGTGCGTGGCGGACCATCATCACAGGGCACCGCAGCAACGGCGCTGGCTTTGATACATGGGATACCCCCTCCTTTGGTCAGTTGCTCTGCATGCTACCCAGCGCTTACACCACTCTCCTCTCCATCCTCTCAGACCCCCTCACACCTCCCACCCCCCACCCCCCACCCCCCCCCTCCCTCCCCCTTTCCTCCTCGCAGCTTCCCTCAAACTTCACTCTTCTCAACCCCGCCCTCTCCCCTCATGTCCGTCTCAATTTCTCTCACTGCCCTTGAACCATTCCTGTTGCGCCTCCAGCTAATGTTTTTTAACTGCGCACACTGAGCTTGTTCTTCTGGCTCGCTTCTCATCCGTCCTTTTCTCTCCAATTCTGCCGGCTCTCAGCTGCGGCGGGCAGCAACTTTGTGACGATGGGCATTCGCTTTGAGAACACTGCACGGCCTCGCATGCAAGCTGCAGTGGCGTTTCGAGCAACCGGGGACAGAACCATTGCGTACCGCTGTGTCTTTTCGGGCTTCCAGGTGCGCCTTCTTTCCATCCCCTCTCTCTCTCTTCTCTAATTGCACTCCTCTCCTTGAAACTGCCAATCCTTTCTTGCCTTATTACTGTGCCCTCTTCTTGCTGCTCTCTCCCCTCTGCACGCTCGCCAAGACCTTGAATCCGTTTCCATTCGGTCTGCTCTGCTTTTCCACTGCCAACCATTCTGTCACTTCCAAGCATAACTGAACCAAGCAATATGATAGATGCCCTTAGCTTCCCCCAATTTCTCTCTGTGCCTTCATCCAACCCCTGATCCTCTCTTCCTGTCCCTCTTCCTCTCCCATTTCTCTCACCACACCCCCATCTTTGAGTCTATCTCTGTCTCACTCACTCTCCCTCGCCCGCTTTTTCTCCCTCTTGCTCCCCTTCCCTTCCCCTTCCCCTCTCCCTCTCCCTCTTCTTCTCCCTCAGGACACACTCAACGCACACAGCGGCCGGCAGTACTACCGCAACTGCGCCATCTACGGCCATGTGGATTTCATCTACGGCCGCCATGGCGCCGCCGTCTTTGACCGCTGCCTCATCGCCCCCATCCCGCGCCCGGGGCAAACCAGCTCTGCCATCATCGCCTCACACGGCGGAGATTCACTCGCATTACGTGAGGGTGGGTTCGTCTTCTACCGGTGCATGGTTGCAGGAGTCACACCAGGGTTGACCGCGTACCTGGGAAGGCCGTGGTTTCCGCACGCGCGTGTGATTTACATGTTCAGCTTCTTGTCAAAAACTGTCCTTCCCGAGGGGTGGGCTGAATGGCCTGGAGAGATATATGGGCCGACTTCGTTTCTGGGGGAGTACAGGAATGAAGGGCCGGGTGCGGGGGTGAGTGGGCGTGCTAGGTGGGTTCGACCTGGGCTGTTGAATGCAACGCAGGTGGCTCCGTTCATGCCTGAAGCGTTTATTAGAGGCAGCAGGTGGGTGGGCAGAACACCTGTGAAGATCCAGTACCCTTGACGGCATGCGAGTTGGGAGGTACAGGTAGATACCATTGAGTCCAACATTGGGAGTTGGACTTGCGAGGACGAGCAGCTGATAGCGGCTGGTTCTCTTGCATTTTTTCGCCTTGATGCACATGGCGTGTGGCGAGGGTCCACTGCCCTTGAGCTCATCTCGAGCTCCGTAGCAGCTGGATTATTGTGCATTATTTTGTCAAATGTAATTCTATGCTTGTAGGCTACAGTGAGTAGCACAATAGGGAGTACAGTTGTTAGGGTTGCATATATGTAATCTCACACTCTCTAGTCTCGAGCATTCCGTTGCTAACCACTCTTGAGATGGTTCCTAGCAGGACCGTTCCTAGCAGGTATCACGAGCAGGACCGTTCCTAGCCCGTTCCTAGCCTAGTGTTCACCCTCCGCGCCTAGCTCGCGCCCTCCGCGCCCTCCGCGCTTAGCTCGCACCTCCGCACCCTTTGTGCCTCCGCGCCTAGCCCGCGCCCTGCCCCTAGCCCGCGCGACGCCCGTAGGCTCGGCCCCAGCCCGTCGCAGCGCCCGTGCGCCCTGCCCCTAGCCCGCGCGACGCCCGTAGGCTCGGCCCCAGCCCGTCCCGGCGCCCGTGCGCCCTGCCCCTAGCCTGCGCGATGCCCGTAGGCTCGGCCCCAGCCCGTCGCGGCGCCCGTGCGCCCTGCCCCTAGCCTGCGCGACGCCCGTAGGCTCGGCCCCAGCTTTGTGCCTTGTGCCTGTCTAGATTAGGTGCTTGTGTTGCTGCTCTAGGTGCTTGTGTAGCGACTGGGTCAGGTGACCCACCGGCTGAGGCCTCTCTTTCGTTCACGCTGGACTCGGGCGCGTCTCAGTGTTTCTTCCGCGACCGCACGACCCTTACGCCTCTCCTCACACCTGTGTCGGTGGCTCTGGCTGATCCTACCTCTGGACCAGCCGTTGCGCGTAGCTCCACCACCCTCCCGTGCCCTGTGGTCCCCTCTGGTGTTCTGCGCTGCCTCCACATCCCCTCGTTCACCCAAAACTTGGTGGGTGTTGGATACCTCCAGGACAGGGGGATCACGGTTACCTTCTTGGGGGGTGGGCGGACTGCAGTCTGTACTGACGCTACCACAGGTGCTGTTCTGGCCACGTTCACCAGGGAGCCCCGCTCCGGTCTCTACGTTCTCCACACCGAGCACTCCCCGGTCGCGTCCTCCCCTCAGGTCGTTGCGTCCCCTCCGGCCCAGGTCCCCAGTCCAGTTGCTGGGTCTAGCCAGGTAGTCGTGTCCAGTCCAGTCGCTGCGTCTTGCTCCTGTCGCTCTCTCGCCCACCGCACCGTTCTGTGGCACCACCGTCTTGGCCACCCGTCGATCCCTCGCCTTCGTGGCATGCTCAGTCACGGACTAGTCACAGGTCTCCCACGCACCTTCCCGTCGCTCCCTCTCTCGCTTGCCCCTCCTTGCTCTCCGTGCGTCGCCGGTCGCTTACGCGCCACTCCCCACTCCTCCTCCCTTCGTCCGGCCACCGCTCCCTTCGAGACTCTCCACTTGGACGTCTGGGGCCCTGCCCCGACGCAGGGGTCTGGGAGGGAGCGTTACTTTCTGGTGGTCGTCGACGACTTCTCCAGGTACACCACAGTGTTCCCTCTTGCGAAGAAGTCCGAGGTGACTGCTACGCTGATCAGGTGGCTTCTAGCCACTGAGGGCACTCGTGGTCGTCGAGTCAGTTGTCTCCACTCCGACCGTGGGGGCGAGTTTCGCTCCGGCATTCTCGGCGGATTCTGCGGCGAACAGGGCATCACCCAGTCCTGGACTCTGCCAGAGTCCCCACAGCAGAATGGGGTTGCTGAGCGCCGCATAGGCTTGGTCATGGACATCGCCCGCACGTCCATGATCCATGCCCGTGCGCCCCATTTTCTGTGGCCCCACGCGGTTCGCTACGCCGCACACCAGCTGAACCTCCAGCCGCGTGTCTCGCGGCCCGAGGCTTCACCGACCAGTCTTTGGACTGGTTCCCCTGGTGTCGGGTCGGCCTTTCGAGTCTGGGGCTGCCTTGCGCTTGTCCGCGACACCTCTGCGGACAAGCTCTCGGCACGCGCCGTCCCCTGTGTCTTCCTTGGTTTCCCAGTGGACTCTGCCGACTGGTCCTTCTACCACCCGCCCCTCCACCAGTTCCTAGACTCCCGTGACGTCCGGTTTGACGAGTCCGTGTCCTACTACACCCGGTACCCCTGTCGAGGTCTCCCGGTACCCCCTCCCCCTCTTTTCCTCGCACCCTCTCCTCCTCCTGCTCCCGCTCCTCCGGTACCCCCGCCCCCCCCGGTCTTGCCCCGTCTGGTGTGTCTCACGCTACCCCTCTACCCTCGGTCGCGCGTCAGGTAGCGTCTCCCTCCCCGCAGTCCTCCTCACAGCCCCCTCAGCAGCCTTCGGCACTTCCGCGACATGTTACTGTGGACTCGGTTGGTGTTGGAGCTGGAGGTGCAGCCGCTGGCGGTGCTCGGTCTGGGGGTGCTCGGTCGTGGGGTGCTGGAGCTGGAGGTGCTGGCGCAGGCGGCGCTAGCTCTGGGGGTGCTGGAGCTGGAGGTGCTGGCACTGGAGGTGCTAGTTCTGGGGGTGCTGGAGCTGGAGGTGCTGGCACTGGAGGTGCTAGTTCTGGGGGTGCTGGAGTTGGAGGTGCTGGCACTGGAGGTGCTAGTTCTGGGGGAGCTGAGTCTGAGGAGACTGACGCTGGAGGCCCTGGTTCTGCGGAGTCCACTCCGCCTCCCCACCGCCACGACACGCGTCTCCAGGCTGCCCGTCGGCGTGAGCGTGAGGAGCAGGAGCGGCTGGAGAGGGAGCGGCAGGAGCTGCGGGTGCTGGACCTTCTGGAGCAGCAGCGGCAGCAGCAGCAGCAGCAGCAGCAGCAACCGCAGCCGCCGCCGCAGCTGCAGCAGCAGCAGCAGCAGCAGCAGCAGCAGCAGCAGCAGCAGCCGCCGCCGCAGCCGCAGCAGCGGCAACCGCAGCCACCGCCGCAGCTTCCTCTTGAGCGGCAGTTGTTCCCACCTGTGAGTGGCCTGCGGGCCCTTGGCCTTTCCTCCTCTCCTCCTGTCCGCTCCCAGTCTCCTCCTGTGTTTGTTTCTCCGTTGCCTCCTCCTGACGACCGTCCGGCGGTCTGGTCTTCTCCTCCTCCACAGTCTCCTCCTCCTTCTGTCCGTCGCGACTTGATCACCCGTTGTCCTCCGCGTGCTCGTCACTCGTCCCCTGTTACTGACCTCCACACTGCCCTCCTTTGTTCGTCTCGTCGTCGTTCTCCTTCTCCTATGTCTGTTCTCCTGTCTCCTCCTCCGTCCTCTCTCACAGCCCTCCCCACTCCTATCTCTGACTACTACCGCGCTGTTCGTCCTGTTGCCGCACGTGTCCTCGCCACTTTTGTCACAGACTCTCGTTTCCCTCCGTCGTCTGTCTCGGCTCTCACTGCCGCTGTCGCTGAGTTTGCTGCCGCCAGCCGCCTTGACTACGCCACCCGTGTGGTGCCAGCTCCTCCCTCCCGTCCTCTGTCCGTCGGGGGTGGGTTTGCCCTTGGCTGTGACGTCCTAGAGGACAGAGAGTCTGAGCTGGAGTACTGGGCAGCCGCTTCTCCCTCTGTGTGTGCCATGCTGCTCTCCCCTGAGGGAGACCCTGACGCCCTTGACATACCGACTCCTCGCACTTACCGCGAGGCAGTGTCAGGGGCGTGGGCCTCTCAGTGGAAAGCGGCTATGGACTCAGAGTTGGCGTCTTGGAGATCCACAGGCACCTACGTCGACGCAGTTCCCCCTCCCAGGGCGAACGTAGTCGATGGCATGTGGCTCTTCAAGGTGAAGCGGCCGCCTGGAGCACCGCCGGTGTTCAAGGCGCGCTACGTGGCTAGGGGCTTCAGTCAGCGTGAGGGAGTTGACTTCTTCCAGACCTTCGCCCCGACCCCGAAGATGACTACTCTTCGGGTGTTACTCCACATAGCAGCGCAGCGAGACTACGAGCTGCACTCCCTCGACTTCTCCACTGCGTTCCTCCAGGGCCGACTGCACGAGGAGATCTGGCTGCGCCGTCCTCCTGGCTTCACTGACACCTTCCCACCTGGGACTAAGTGGAGCCTGAGGCGACCAGTCTACGGTCTCCGCCAGTCGCCCCGTGAGTGGCACGACACTCTTCGCTCCACGCTTCGTGACCTTGGGTTCAGCCCGTCCTCCGCCGACCCGTCGCTGTTTGTTCGAGCGGGTTCTACTCCTTTCTTTAACCTTCTTTACGTCGACGACTTGGTGTTTGCTACAGCAGACAGGGCAGCCCTGGCTCAGGTGAAGTTCGAACTGCAGAAGAGACACAAGTGCACTGACCTGGGTGAGCTGCAGCGCTACCTTGGCCTGCAGATCACCAGGGACAGAGCCGCTCGCACCATCACACTGACTCAATCACACATGGTGCAGCAGGTCCTTCGGCGGTTCGACTTCCAGTTCTCCACCACACAGCCCACTCCTCTTGCTGTTGACCACAGACTCACTGGCCCCTTTCCTGACGAGCCGTTTGAGCCCAGTGGTCCCTACGCAGAGCTTGTGGGCTGCCTCATGTATCTGATGACTTGTACTCGGCCGGACCTCGTCTTTCCCCTCAGCATCCTTTCTCGCTTTGTTGCGACTGGGAGACACCGTCCTGTCCACTGGACAGCTGCTGTGAGGGTGGCGAAGTACCTGGCGACTACATCAGGCATGGGGCTTGTGCTTGGAGGGACTCAGCCAGTGGCGTTGACTGGTCACTGCGACTCTTCCTACACTGACGACGTGGATACTCAGCGTTCGACTCAGGGTTACTGCTTCAGTCTGGGAGCTGGTGCTGTGTCGTGGAGGTCTACACGGTCGTCGTCTGTGGCTACTTCCAGTGCAGAGGCAGAGATCTACGCTGGTGCCATGGCGGCACAGGAGCTTCGCTGGTTGACCTTCTTGCTCGCCGACCTTGGTGAGCGGCCTCGCTCTGCACCGACCTTGTACGCTGACAACAAGGCCATGATCCTCCTGTGTCGAGAGCCTCGACTGGAGAGCAGAGTGAAGCATATTGACGTGAGGTACTTCCTCCTGCGAGAGCTGCAGCGACGCGGCCAGGCACGCCTGGACTTTGTGGCCTCAGAGGCCAACACTGCAGACGTCTTCACCAAGGCCTTGGCGCCTGGTGATCACCACAGGTTCTGTGTGCAGTTGGGGCTTGTTGAGGTAGGCCCTCGGTTGCTGTAGTCTTGTTGTTTGCTTTGCTTATTGTGCTTCCTATTTATATGCTAGTGAACTCTTGAACTGGCCTTGTGGCCGCTTGCTTGTGCTCGGAATTTGTGTGGTGTCCTTGAGATCCACCCAGAGCTTGCCTTGTTTCTTGCTTCTCTTGACTGGTCTTGTGACCGTTTGTTCACCTTGCTTGCTTTGATGCCCCTCACTTAGCCTATGGGGGTGTGTCAAATGTAATTTTATGCTTGTAGGCTACAGTGAGTAGCACAATAGGGAGTACAGTTGTTAGGGTTGCATATTTGTACTCTCACACTCTCTAGTCTCGAGCATTCCGTTGCTAAACACTCTTGAGATATTTTTCCCCTCTCCTGTAACAGAGTGTTTGTGAACCTTTGTGTATCATACCACCAGCGCATATCACAGTACAACGTGGCTGCATTTTTTTCTATTCCAATTTGTGTTGCTTCTGACGCTCCACATATTTACCATATGCAATTTGGCTCAAGTGGCTTGGTGTGAAAGTTTGCAGATTGTGCGTAATGCAATTTCGGGACACATTTTTTTTACCACCATTTCAAGTGCTAGGTGTCACCGACGTTTGATCATGGCTTCCCAATAACAATAAATACTGGCCACAAAACGAAAATGAAGTCTTATGGTTTGTACGGTATTCTCATACATATTTAGAATATTCTGCATATTGTTTTTGCACTGGAGATAACGTTATGCAGGAGTACCTATTTCTTGTATTTGAAGGCACGACGATAATTGAAGAGTACAACAGCGCACCATCGAAATATCTCACTTGTTCACCCTACCCGCACCACACGAACACACACTTCAGAATGTGGTTCGCCGCAACAAGCCTTTCCAAGCCTCAGAGCAACATGTGGTACGGGCTGTTCTTGGTTGGAATAGTTCAAGAATGCTTTACAACGAACAGAGAATGTTTGTTTTAGGTGACTCTCCTAGTTTCGTACCCAATTTCGCAAACTGGGGTCGAGGTGCTTGGCGCTGATGAATCTGATGTGGGACGCTGCTGACAGTAGTGAGCAAGCACTTATTGTGGGTTGCGACAGAAAACCCTTCGGAACAACCTTTTGGAACGTCTGGGTATGACGGACCTGTGATGAATTTCCGCCTCAGCCACCAAAACATTTCTGTTTACCTCCCCTTGCCGCTCTCAGATCAGACCATGAGCGGCTGGTGTCGCATACCAGTCAGCTTCACAAGTTTCTGGAGGAAGTCGCCAGAACACCTTGTGACGTGGCAGGTTTGGCAAGCTCTCTTTGTGGCAGCTCATCATAACCACCCAGCGCCGGCAGCTTGGGTAAGCTGCCCTACCTGGCTCGACATCGAGGTTCGGGTAGAGGTTAAAGCGGCGTCCCTGCGCCGCCGAATCACGCGACTTGGCGTGCCAAGCTGATAAGGCGCCTCGGAAAGAATCGAAGGTACACATCCCGTGTATCGGTGACGGGCTGTCTTGAACCACTTGTTCCCCAATTTGCTTCACAACCCAACGGGGCGAGTTTCTCAACCTCACAGTGCTACTGCTAAACTCGGCAAAAAAGTTGTTCACCTCCTCATTCACTCTGCCTAGCAACGCAAACTCTCAACAATGGCGTCGTTTTCTCGTGCGAATCGTCAGCTAGCTGCCATCGTCGCGGCGTGCCTCGTCAGCACCTTCTGCCTCCATGTGGACTCTCTGCGCCTCCCGCTCTCCACGAAGATTAACAGCGACGATCGTAATAATCACCGCACCCCTAGTAACCTAGTCGTCATTTCCGCGGCGCGCAGCTAAGCGACACGCCATATTAAATTTTAATTAGTTAATTTGTTCTTCACTCGATTTCGTCTTGTTTGGTTTACCTCTTGGTTGTTTTTAAGAAACGTCCCTACCATTTATGGCAGCAAACCTCGCACCGTACTCCAGCCGTCTATATGCAGGCTCTCTCCCCCTCGCGCGCACACCCTCTCCCCATTCTCACCGTCCTTGCGTTGTCGAAAGTCTCTCCGCCCCTTTTCTTCTTTCCCTCCCCTCACCATCTTTCCCATCCCCCCTCTTTCCCATTCTGTCCGCGCTTCCTCCCCCGCGCGCCTCGCACACCGTCCCCAAAATCATTGCGCGCAGAGAAGGTTCTTCAGGATTTGGTGGGCGCGTGGGGCGACTTCACGGGGTCGAGCACGTGGAAGGACTCTGGCAAGAAGTGCGACCACTACGTGGGCATTGAGTGTGCCGACAACGGCTATGTCATCAACATGTGAGCCGAATCGCGCCGTCGCGCAGTCGGGCCGACGCTCGAGCGCGCGTCGCGTGAGAAGAACTCCGAGCAGGCTGCTCTCTTTCGCTTTTATCTTTTACTTGTTCAGAAACTCGTTGTTCCTTTGACACGGGGGATAGACGTCGAAGCGAGGAGCTTCGTCACGCCGCCGTCGCGTTTCCTTCGCTGGCCTGCCGTCGTTGTGCATTTGCGCGACCGTTAGGCTTGTCCAACCGTCGATTTCTTTAAGCGCCTAATAAACAAACCATCTCATCTGACTCTTCCCTCCTTCCCGAATCGGCCATTCTGCGTGTCTCCCGCCGCGCTGGCAGGACGATCGCGGACGCGGGCGCGTCGGGAGCCATCGGCGTGCTGACGAAGCTGCAGAGCCTCAAGTACCTGTACGTGCGACGTGCGACGTGCGACGTGTGATGTGCGACGTGCGATGTGTGATGTGCGACGAGGGACACCATCTTTCCCTTGACATCTGCGCAATGCCCTCTCTCGTATCGCCACCTCTCCTTCCTCGCCTTTGAACTAGCGTCCAAACACGCCTCATCGCGCCTTGGCCCCTCTCTCGTCTCAGCATGCATGCAGACATGGTCGTCTTGTCGTGCGTGGATTCATGGATCATAAATTCCTTTTCCGGTTGATCCCCATGATGGCACACCGTGCGTTCATCTGACCGTGGGCCAATGCAATGCAATGCAGTGACCTCTCTGGCAACGACATCACCGGTTCCGCCGCCTCGCTTTCCAAAATTGGCTCCCTCTCCTACATGTGAGCACCGCTCTTTCCGTACCACCAGCGCCCTCTGCCCTCCTCCGCCTTTCCTCCCTCCTCTCTCTTCCTCGAGCACTCTCGCCCTTTAATGCCAAAGCTTCCGTTGTGTTTCGTGCTCGTTCCTTTCCCTGTCCAAGCATCCACCCACTGCTGTTCCTCTCATCGCGCCTACCCAGTTTCCATGCCCTGCCTCCCGCTCCCTCCCTGCCATCCCCTTCCCCAACGCGCTGAGCAGCGATGTGTCGGGCAACAACAACCTGAACACGGGGTTCTCATCACTCACTAACCTCGAAAAGCTGAAACACCTGTCAGTCACTGTCTCATCCCTCCCTCCCACCCATCGCCCACCCATCGCCCCTACACGGCCATCAACGCGCTCCTCGTTCCCTACATCTCCCGACTCACAAGCTTTTTTCTTTTGTGTGTTTCTTTGTTTGGTTGTTTGTTAAGTAGTCAGCTTTGTTTGCTTGATTCCTTCGATTGGAATCACTTTTCTCACTCGTTACACAAACCCCTGCGCTTCATCACTCGCTTGTGACGCACCGCCACCAATCTAACCAAAATGTCCTCCCCCCTCCGCCAATCACCCGCCCGCTCTCCCCCATTGCTCATCCTCGTTAGGGACATTGCCGACACCGGCTACGAGGGCTCCATTTCGACCTTTGTCTCCAAGCTCACAGACCTCACTCACCTGTACGCCCATGCTTCCATGCTCATCTGCCCTGCTCTGCACTGCTCTACCGTCTACAATCCCCCCTCCCTCCGACCGTCACTTGGCCCCTCGTCGTCGCTCCTCCTATATTTAGTGCTGCTCTCACTGTCCCACCACTCCTGTTCTTCACCACCCCTTGCTTCACCACCCCTTGCTTCACCACCCCTTGCTTCACCACCCCTTGCTTCACCACCCCTTGCTTCACCACCCCTTTCCAGTCCGCCTCACTGCTACCTGCCTTCATTCCAGGGAGCCTGCCACTGCCACCCTCTCTCCCTGTCTCCATGCTGCGTTGTGTTACCCTCTTCGAACTGTGCCCGCTCCCCACTTTTCTCCCTCCCCCTTCCTCCCTCCCCCCTTCCACCTCCTCCCTTCACCCTTAACCCTCACCCTCCTTGCCCCTGCTCGCCCGTACACCCACGCCACCCACACCCACTCACACCGCCAGCGACATGAGCTCCAACTCCCTCTCAGGCTCCATCCCCAACTACATCAGCACTCTCAAGAAGCTCGAGTACCTGTGAGTCGCTCGCTCACGCTCCCTCTCACGCACTCTCACTCCCACACACTCTCTGTGGAACTTGGGGGCAGGGAAGAGAGTGACTCCGAATCTGGGCACTTGGTGACTTGGAGCTTGGGCACTCTCATTCATGCCATGCCACCATCGACCATGCTAGTACTACCGCTCTCCCCTCGGCCAACCACTTGCCTCGGGCTTCTCACCTTCTACCCGTCTGCTCTCTCTCCCTCTCCTCCTGCGCTCTCCTCCTGCGCTCTCCTCCTGCCCTCTCCTCCTGCTCTCTCCGCCTGCTCCCCGTCCCCACCCCATCCCTCTCCCAATTCTGGTGCTCGCAGTGGGCTGTCAGCGTCGGGGGAGGATGGGCTCAAGGGCACCCTGCCGTCCGGCCTGGGCAAGCTCACCCGCCTCAACGAGCTGTGAGCGCCCCGGGCCAATCAAGGGGGGTTCATTTGGGGGAAGAGGCGCAGTGACAGTGGGAGGAAGGCGGAGAGAGCGGATCGTGACCATGTCATGTGCGAAAAGGGATGGGTTGCATGGGTTGTCTTCTTACTGCGGTGGCCTCTCAACCCAAGCCTGCGCTAATCCCCTCCTCTCTCGCTTCCACCCCCTCCCACCCTCCTCCCTCTCGGTGCAGCTACCTGCATCGCAACGGTCTGAGCGGCCCTGTCAGTGTGCTCACCTCCCTCACCAAACTCAACCGCCTGTGCGCCCTGCTGCCGCTGCTGCTGCTGCTGCCGCCGCCGCCGCCACAGCTGCTGCTGTTGCAATTGAAATTAATTCGCCCTATCTCATCCTTTATCTCTGAACCTCTCCAACATCCGCATCTTTGTCCCACTCATTGTGTTCCCAACTCAACCTCCACTCCACTGATCCCTTGCCCCCATGCTGCCAGGCTGTTGGGAGATAACAACTTCAACGGCTCATTTCCTCAGGGCTTCTCCAATCTCAAGAGCCTCAACTACCTGTGAGCCTCAACTACCTGTGAGCCTCTCTACCAGCGATCTCATTTTTTCCTCAGTACCAGCTATCTCACTGTGCGTGTTACCATCGATTCACCTAATTACCCACTCCATGCATCTTCTCTGTGTGTGTTTCTTCCATGTGTCACAACTGTCCACGTGTCCTTGCTGTTTCAGGAGCATGCGTTACAATGCCTTTGAAGGCCGCATCCCCAACGTCATCAGCACTCTCAAAAAACTCACTTACCTGTACGCAGCACCCTCCTGCTCCTCCCAACCCACCTCCACCTTCCACCTCCGTCCTTCTCATTCCTCTCTCCACGGTCCATGAGTACGCTGCCCCACACTGTCCTCTCCGTGTCGTTTTCCTCCTTGTCCTGCCAGCCTGTCACCACATTCCGCCCTCCACCGCCCCTCCCTTGCCCCAGGACTGTATGCAACATCTCCATGTGTCTGAATCACCCCTCGTTGCCTGAATCACCCCTTGTTGCCTGCATCCCCGTCCTCTCTCTCTGTGTGTGGCAGGTCACTGTACAACAACCGCTTCAAGGGCATCATCCCGCGCACCATCACCTCTCTCACCAAGCTCAGCAACCTGTGCGCTTCCCTCCCTGCATCCCTCCCTGCCTGCCTGCCTGCCTGCCTGCTTGCCATGCTTCTTCTCACTGTCCTCCAACTCCCTTCTGCTCTCTGCTTTGTTTTTCGTTTCATCTGTGCCTGTGCCTCTCCCTCCTCACTACCTGCTTTTCTGTCGCTGCTTAGAAAGAAGCAAAACAAATTATCCGCACCTGCATCCTTCCTCTCCTTCCTGCATCTCTCACTTGCTCTCCCTCTCTTCCCTCTCTTCTCTTCAGTTCAAACCTTTTTCTGCCCCGCTCATTTCCACATGTTCATTTCCACATGCTCATTTCCACATGCTCATTTCCACATGCTCATTTCCACATGCTCATTTCCACATGCTCATTTCCACATGCTCATTTCCACATGCTCATATTACATGCTCATGTCCAAACAGCCTTCTGCAGGACAACTACCTCGATGGTTACGTGCCCTCCCTCTCATCCCTCAAGAAGCTCACCGAAGTGTACGCCTCTCCGTTCTTAACTCTTTCTCTACCGTTTCCCTTGCTCCTTCCACCCTTTCCTGAGTTGTCCGTTTCACACCCTCACCCAACCCACCTCTTCTCCTTCCCTCACAATTTTACTTTACATGTCCCATCATCTGACCCACCTCTGATGCTTTTTTCTTCTGCATTGCACTCTCTCCTGCCCCCACCTCCACACCACAGGGACCTGAGTGCCAACTACTTCACCGGGCCTCCTCCCAGCTTCTACAAGGCCCCTACCACTCTCAACCTTGACGACAACTACTTCTTCGGAAACACTTTGCCCAAGGACAAGAACGGCGACACTATTTGCGCGGCATCTTTCGCCAAGAATTGCCTCACCATTCCTTCCTCGTACAGCTGCGGTTCCAAGCCATCGCAGAGGACTGCTGCTGCGTGCAACAAGTTCTGCGGCACTTCCGGGAACATGCAGTGCGGTGGCATCCGCATTGGCATCTGCTACCCATCGGATAAGGTTGTGGAGACCAGCGGGAGTACCATTGATCCCGGATGCCTCTGCGCCAATGGGTGGAGCCTGTCTGGTGATAAGCAGAAGTGCACCAAGACGACAACGGGCGGTGGTGGTGGCGAAGATGGGATGCAGAACTAGGGAATCATCGTAGTAGCGTACTAGGAGATGTCTCTTGGAAAGATTGAGGTTCGTTGGAAGGGGTGGCGAACAAAGTTACGGAAGTATAGGGGGGAAGATTATGTTATGGGGTATAAAATAAATGATGTGTGTGCTGCTGATGTTACTGGATTGGAAAACTTAAAAACCTTTACATCATACCGTCATCGCCCGGATATAAGACATATATGTCTTATCTCGTACACGGGCAAAAATGCTTGAGTTATCTTGTAAACGGGATGCTTTAGGGTGTCTTATAAATCTTATAAATGGAAACTTTTTAAACTACTTAGAAATATTTTCCGTACTTCTTGAAAAAGAGTTCCTCATAATGAGTGTGGATGTTGCGAAGGTGCCACTTCGGCAACCACTGCCCGGGACGCCACGTCATGGAGAACACCTGCAGAGGCAAATTTGGTAGGTCCTGGGTCAGCGCGTGGAGAAATTCGCGCTTCGCAAGGGTAAAAATGTACGCGTTATTTCAACTTTCGCTATAATATATTGAAGTTTCGATTATAAGACATATATGTCTTATCTCGTACACACAAATAGGTGTCTTATAATGAGGCTAGCCTGTTTATAAGAGACACCCGTATAGTAGACAACCCCTGTCTACTATTCAACACTATCTTATATATGGGCGTTTACGGTATAATTCATCCCATATAACACCGACTGTTCACTAGTTATGTCCATCCAATAATTGGATGTCTAGCCATCTGGTGGATGGTTCCACAAGATCATGCCTAATGCCTCCATTGAACCACTCGACCTTTCTCTGACTCCCGGCCAAAGTTTCCCTCTCAAATCACCACCCGCACTTACTATCACAAACTCGCATCGCAACGCCACACAACTGACACTGCCAAGTCTGTCAAATTATATAACGGTTATACATTTGTAGGCTGTAGTGGGTTGGCACTAGGGGGTACAGTATTTTTCTCGACATTCTTCTTGTACCCCTCGACCTACCGTATAACCCCGGATATAGGCGCATGTGCGCTTATAATAAAACCGGTTTTTTTAGGGGGGGGCGCTTGTAATTGAGTCACGGCCATAAGCGCCGGCGCTTATATAATGACAAGTACAGATATACAACTTAAACGCATCAAAATGTACACATTTCAGTCTCGGTAGTTCAATCGAGTCGATATTTTAAAGCGTCCAGAATCTGAATCGCGTGAGGGCGATTCTCTGACGCTGCACAGAGATTTTGACACGTCAATTTGCCAGCTTGCCACCTCATCCTGACTGGACGCGAAAGCAGTCAGGACCGCGAAAGTCAAACAAAGTGAAAATGGGTGCTGACTCGCTTGAAATTCAAAACTCGTTACCGCTTTAATCAGGATTGAAACATAATATTATGGTGTCAGAATCCCAGTCACTAACCACTGGGATAAAAGGGCTTGTTTGTGTAGCGGGTGAGTGCGCCCATAACCCCCCAGGCCAACGTGCCTGTAACCCTTCCCTAGGATCAATCGGGGATCTCCAGTGGACCTCTGACACCCCCCCGCACTGGGATGCCCGAGGTGCATACACCGGGATTCGAACCCGAGACCTTCGCTCTGATACCATGTCAGAATCCCAGTCACTAACCACTGGGATAAAAGGGCTTGTTTGTGTAGCGGGTGAGTGCGCCCATAACCCCCCAGGCCAACGTGCCTGTAACCCTTCCCTAGGATCAATCGGGGATCTCCGGTGGACCTCTGACATATGGATGCGCTTATAATAAATCAGGGTTTCACAGGGGGGGCGCTTATAATCGAGTTCCGGCCATAAGCGCCATGCTCCAGATAGAAGCGCCGGCGCCTTTAATTGGACGGCGCTTATATCCGGGGCGATACGGTAATCCCATCCATTCCCCGTAATCTCTCTCGACATGGTATAGAGCAGGTCCTTCCTAAGGACAGTTTTTTGGGTTGCGAAGCAACCCTTTACGATCGATTTTGACAGTTTTTTTTTTCATGTTTTTTTTAAGATAAAACATGAAAACAAAAATTGTCAGCTATATTAATACCCTTCCCATTGTGCATGTTAAACAGCTTTGAATATTGGTAACTATCTATGTAATAGTTTTGTGAATAAATGCTATATTGTTTGTATTTTATCATTTACTGTTTGATGATGTTGTGACAACTGCATGTAATAAATGTTATGAATACTAGTAATGAACTACATGCCACACATGCTTAAATAGATATAATGATGAGATTAATATATAGATGCATATATAATACCGATACACGCATGAAAATGCTTTTGTATGCATATGATATGCTGAAATGCACCACACCAGTATATCATACAAATGCGTGATAGTTAACGACCCAAAAACTAGGCTACCGCATCCCCTGCCTAGCATGGGGGGGAAGTCAATAGCAAAGTCTTTGAATAATCAACTAGCACATGAAACAATACAATCTGTTAACTCTAAAAAAGAGGTTCACTCTATCAAATCCAGTTCGAAGTGGCAAACACACGAGTCACTGAGTGCGCCAATGAACCAATGAGAAATGATAGAAATGAACCCATTTTTTAAAATTGACAGACATGCATTGATATTGCAATGACAGATGAGATGAATGCACACACAAGCAAACGCATTCACACAGTCAAAAGATCAAACAGCAGCAAACCCAGCCAAAAACACCCGATAATACAGTAAATAACATGCAAATCTGTCAAACATATATGCTGCATATTGTCTAGGCTGTAGTGGGGTAGCCCATATGGGGTACAGCCCAATTAGGGTTTACTACTTGTACTCCTGCATGCTGCTAGTTCATTCATTTTCCTGCTGCTAGATTCTGACATGGTATCAGAGCACTAAGGTCCGTAGGACCGTTTTTTTCGGGCCCACCTACCGCTGCGGTTACCGCGCTACCCCACGTACCTGCCTGCCTTGCCTTGCCTTGTGACGTGATGCACTATGTCCAGCAGCCCTAGCGCTGCCTCCTGCTGCCCTAGGCCAGCGCGCTGCCCCTAGAGGCCCGTAAGGCCCACGCGCCGCCCCTAGAGGCCCGTAAGGCCCGCGCAGCCCGCTGCAGCCGCGCGCAGCCCGCACAGAGCCCACGCAGCCCGCGCCGAGCCGCGCACAGCCCGCTGCAGCCGCGCGCAGCCCGCACCGAGCCGCGCGCAGCCCGCTGCAGCCGCGCGCAGCCCGCAGCTGCCGCGCGCAGCCCGCGCCGAGCCCACGCAGCCCGCGTCGAGCCGCGCGCGGCCTGCTACGGCCTCGCGAGGCCCGCGCGCGGCCCGCAGCAGCCCGCGCCGAGCCGCGCGCGGCCCGCTACTGCCTAGCGCGGCCGCGCGCGGCCTGCAGCAGCTCAGCGCGCTGTCAGCGCAGCCCGCGCCGAGCCGCGCGCGGCCCTCTGCCTCGGTCACGACGTGCCGCTGATGCGGACCCGCCCTGCAGCTACCACGGCCCCGACCTGCCGCTGATGCGGCCCCGCCCTGCAGCTGCCACGGCCCCGACCTGCCGCTGACGCGGCCCCACCCTGCTACTGCCGCTGAAGCGGCCCCGCCCTGCAGCTGCTTCGGCCCTGCTCTGCAGCCGGTTTTGCGGCCCCGACGCCGCCGCTGTCGTGCGCCTACTCGGCCGCCGCCCGTCGAGCGCCGGCCCTGCTCGCCCGGTGAGCGCCTGCTCTCCCAGCCTTTGGTGAGCGCCTGCCTGCCTGCCTGCAGGCCTGCCTGTCTGCCTGCCTGCCTGCCGGCCTGGCTGCCTGCCTGCCTGCCGGCCTGCCTGCCGGCCTGCCTGCCTGCCTGCCTGCCTGCCGGCCTGCCTGCCTGCCTGCCGGCCTGCCTGTCTGTCTGCTTGCCTGCCTGCCTGCCTGCCTGTCTGCCTGCCTGCCTGCCTGCCTGCCGGCCTGCCTGCCTGCCTGCCTGCCTGCTTGCTTGCCTGCCTGCCGCGCCTGCCTTGCCCGCGCTACTGCTGCTGCTACTGCTACTGGCAGGTGGCCAGATGCAGCTCCAGCGACGTTCACGCGAGCCTCTGACGCCCCAGCAGCTTAGTGAGTGGTATACTAGCTGGGGTTGTCGCAGTAGCCGTCGTAGCTGTCGCCCTGGAGCTGGTCAGTTGGGAGCGTCTGGCAGTGGCCAGCTGCAGCTGCAGGGGCGTCCACGTGAGACACTTACGCCCCGGCAGCTCCAGGAGTGGTACGCTCAGTGTAGCAGGTCTACGCGTACAGTTCGCTGCCCGTACGTCATTCGCACAGGTGCTAGGACTGGTCAGCCTTGTGGGACGCTTGGTCACACACAGTCCCGCTGCTTCGCCCGTCTGAGCGACGACTGGCGCACAGTGTTTGGCGACGAGGCTGAGCTCCCCACCTGGCTGGAGCTGCATGGACAGAGGGTA